GCTTGAAACGGGGTCATGGGCCAGCCTTTTAGTCGGCACTGGTCGCAAGGCTTCTGACCGCGGTGAATTGGGGTTTGGCCGCGGCCTGAGACTTGTAAGCGCGGTCGAGAGTGTGTTCCCCGCGGTCGTGGCTCCTGTACCCGTGGGGATTGGTCTTTGAGGTTGAATCTTCATTCTGTGCTTGCTTCCTTCGCTAGACTGCAGAATATGTCTTCCATGCATCAAGTATATCCGGCGATCTAACCATTGGATTGCCTCCTAACTAATTTCATTTGAAAGCTAGTTGTCTCCTTTATATTATGTCCGATTTTGGGGATGATCTGACGGTGAGAAGGTCTCCATCAGATGTAAAACTTCTGACGGCTCGAATTTATCCAAAATGATCATTTGCTCTAAAATGCACACCTTTTGCCTTAATTACCTGAAAAGAGTCTTGGAACTACAAATACTAGAAAACCATACTTAAAACACTTAAAAGAAATAAAAATCATTTAAAAAGCATTTAAAAACTATCCACAAAAATGGTCAAAATACGGTGTTATCAGATATACACATGGATATGTTTGTTTGGACACTTTAACTTGCGATTTTTATTGATGCATATGTAAATCGTCGTAGTCGACATGTCTTGAATACATATATGAAAATTAAGTTGCTATGTACGTCTCTTTAATTATGTTCATATGGTTACAAATAAACTTTCTATGATTTTATCAACTTACAACAAACAAAAAGAACGTGGTCATGTCCACACGGTTTACATATATAAGAGTCTGCAAACGAACATGTATCATGTCTATACAGACCTTTTTATACAGACCTGTCCACATTGGTCAAAAACCGACTCTTTATGATATTATCAATCATAATTTCTTTACAATTTAATTAATTTTATAATTTTGTACTCACAATTTAATTAAATTTATTATTCTTATATAATTAGTGGACATGTACATGACAAACAAACTTTGATTCTAAGCGAAAATATTCAAAATAACTAAAAAAAAATATAAAAGCCAACAATATGAATCTACCATGTGGCCATGTCCACACGGCAAAACAACATGGCCATGCCCACACGATTGTCATATAAAAGTCTACAATATGAATCTACCTCATGGCTACATATGTGTGTACAATACTTGAATATGTATAAGGTTTATCGTAATAGGGCATAATAGCATAGGATTATTCTTAAAAAATATTATGATTTATGGATATGTTTGTTTAGAATAATTGTTAGCACTATAGTATTTTCGATAATGAAGTTGTGAATATATAAAAGGTAGTCGAAAGAATATAAACCAATTGTCATAGACACTTAATTATGTCTATATGGATAGGTCCACATTAGTCGAAAACCAACTCACTATGATATTATCAATTGTAATCTCTTTACAATTTAATTAATTTTATTATTCATGGACGTGTACATGGCAAACAAACTCTTTGTTTCTGAGCAAAGATATTTAAAATAACTAGTACGACGCGTACACGATAATATGTCCATATAGAAATATCCACACTAATTTAATTCGAGGCAAGTACATTCAAACATTCTTTGGTAAAAGAAACTACTGCACATAGATAACATTACACTCAAAAGATATGTCCACTAAAAGATATCTACAAGGAAAGAGAGTTATGTGTACGTGTCCACTAACTAATTTTGTGTATTTCTCCGTATAACTTGTTTCTTATACTATTTGTTCTCCTCCTTATCTTCATACACATCCGCCATAACTACATGTGATTCTAGTTGCAGATATGATGGTTGCACGACCACAAGATCCAAGTGTAACTCTAGATCTAAATCCTTCACCAGCATCTGAGAACAAGCTTCACCAGCATGTGCAGAATTTTTTTTACGCAGATTTGAGAGAGAGAGAGGGAGAGAAAAGAGAGAGAGAGAAAGAGAAAGGGAGAGAAGAGAGAGAGAGAGAGAGAGAGAGAGAGAGAGAGAGAGAGAGAGAGCTGCTTCGTTGAAAGAGAAGGAAATGTCTGTCAGTGAAGGAGAGAAAAATATATCAATGTCAACAAGATAGAATGAAATAAAGAAAGAAGGAAAAGAATGCTTAACCGATCGGTTTAGAAACTAGTTTATCATATATATTTTTACACATAAGGACTAAAATGGTTTTTTCACGTATAAGTTATAAGAAAGAGTTACGAAAGTGCTAAAATCTGTAATTTATAACTCAACAAGTGTCAAATTTTGTAAACCACTCATAAACAAATGCATACTTTAAGCTAGAATACCACATTTAAAAGTTTGCGTACATCTAACTAACTCGTGTATGAATGTACACATTTCACAGCATTGGATGATAAATATATAGATGCACAGTGAAAATGTTTGCTACAAAAATGCCAACCACAGTTATGTAATATATTGAGTCTCTCATTATTATATTATTTGCATTTCAGAGAACAACATTCCATGATGTGCGATATTTCGTGTGGATATGTTGTTTGTGCTAATTAAATATCTTATATATAAAAGACAATCAACTCTCTCTAGCTGAGTGATGTCTTGTTCGTTTGCTCATTTGTCATTTGCATCTAGATGATTTAAATGATTCATCTAAATGATTAATCTAGATAAGTCATCTGAATGAAGCAAATAACAAATGAGCAAACGAACATTAAAATGAGCATATGACAAATGAACAATGGACCTTTATTTGTTTGGTCATTTTAATCTGAAGATATATATCTTTATCTTTATGTTTTAATAACAAAATTATTAAAATATTGATTTAATCTAATTATAAGTTTATAAATCTAATCGAATCTTAAATATATTAAATTTACATTTTTACATTTTTGGTAAAAATAAAATTTTGTTTTGTATAAAAAACATAATATTTGTTTATGGTGAAAAACAAGATTTTACGTTTTTGACGAGAAAACGAGATTTTACGTTTTAACGGAAAACAAGATTTTATTTTTTTTACGAAAAAATGGAATTTTACGCTTTTTGACGAAAAAACAAAATTTTACGTTTTTGATAAAAAAACATGATTTTACGTTTTGACTGAAAAACAAGATCTTGAACTCGAGATTTTCGTTTTTGAAGGAAAAATAAAATTACGTTTCTAATGAAAACCGAGATTTTACGTTTTTAGTGGGAAAATGAGATTTGATGTTTTTAACAGGAAAACGAAATTTAACGTTTTTTACGAGAAACGAAATTTTACGTTTTTAACGAGAAAACGAGATTTTACGCTTTTTGACGGTAAACAAGATTTTTTGATGGGAAAACGAGATTTTACGTTTTTTACGGAAAAATGAGATTTTAGGTTTTTGATGGAAAAACAAGATTTTACTTTTTTGACGGAAAACCAAGATTTTACACATCAGCAATGGAGATAGTGACATGTGACACATCCAAAAATTGACAAAATAATATATTAAATTTAAAGAAAACACATTAAAACATAAATAAATATTGATATACAATTCAAATTTAATTTAAATATAGAAAACTTATAAATATTATATAATACAACATTTTTTAAATGCATTATTCTATTTTCTTCTTTCAAGTGATTTAAATTTCATTTTCAAACTAAAAATATACTAATTTTAATGCAAATGAAAAACAAAATTGAGACGGAATAAATTAAGAATTTTCAAATATTCTTATATAAAACTTCAACTAATAAATTATAAAACACGAAAATATTTAATAAATAATTAAAGAGAAAAATATAATTAAAAAATAATAGTACTCCAAGAAAGGTGTGCACATAAAAATGTCATATATGTCTTTTTTAAAATAAAAATTAGAACCAGTAAAATATATATAACTAAAAAAATTCAAAATGGTAAATTGAAAAATTTAACAAGTATTATATTAGTAAGATTTACAAGAATAAAAAGAACATGAAGATCGAAGAACAAATAAATATTTCTCTCTGATATTCTACGTATATTTTTAAGTGAATTATTACGTTTTCATATAAAAATTAAAATAGTAGATTTTTAGTCCTTTATTATTTTGAGAGAAAAATTAAACTATTTGGCACAATCGGTGTAGAAGAGAAAATCAAAGAAAATATAAATATTTGAAACTTATAAATATTTATTTGACTATAGATATCTATTTGATTATCAAGATAACTTGTATTTGATTATCACGATAACTTGTATTGCTAAATCATATTATTAAGATAACTCATATTTATTTATATATATATTGATTATACATATATATATATATATATTTGATTATACATATATATATATATATATTTGATTATCAAGATAATTCTTATATCAAATGTTAGTCAGAGATGTTTCTGTTGTTTGTTGGAACTCCATAAATTTGATAATGATCTGTATATTATCTCAACAATTTAAAGGATATGGTACCTGAGAATTAATATTATTACAATCAGCACTATCACATTTTTCATCTGATTGAGAATTATATTAAGTAAATTACCACATCTTGGGATGAATTTCAAAGAATGTGAAAAAGATAATAAGATTAGAAATTTTGAGAATTTTTTAAAATCTATATTGATGGGAAACATAGAAGATAGTGAACAAAGGGAATAAATAATAGGTTTTTGGATTAAAAAAAAAAAAGGAAGGGACAACATATGTAGCAAGGGAAAACTATCCTTGGGCATGCTTTGTTGAGATCAGTGAAATCCACGCAGATTCTCCATTTGCCGTTTTTCTTCTTGATGACGACTGGATTCGCTAACCACTCTGGATATTTGACTTCGACGATCGAGCCAGCCTTTGACAAACGCTCGACCTCATCATTGACAGCTTGGGCCTTTTCGGGACCCAATTTTCTTCTTTTCTGCTTGATCGGCTTAAACGTAGGATCGATATTGAGTTCGTGACTTGTTATCGTGGGACTGATCCCGGGCATGTCACTTACTGACCAGGCGAACTTCGATGCATGTCGATGCATTTTGGCGGAGGAGTCTTACGAGCTCAATTTTTAGTTCTTCTTTCAGATCAGCTTCGATTCCTATGCATCATTTGGGGTCGCTTTTGTCGATTTTTACTTGTACGATGAGCTCTCGCTTGGGTCCTTCTTGAGATGGTAAATCGACTTGAGTCGTGGGTAAGATCGCGAGGCACGCCTTGGTTGGAATCATGGATTTGAATCGGAGTTTATGTTTGGCCGCGAAGCAAAGTCTCGACATTTCTTGGGATCTCCGAATAGTCTTTACCTCAAACGTTGTTGGGAACTTGAGGCATTGGTGGTAGGTAGACGGCACCGCCTTCATGGATTGCAGCCAGGGTGTTCCCAGAATTACGTTATAGATGGCAGATTTGTCGATGACGATAAATTTGATGAGGCGAGTCGTCTTCATAGCGTAGACCGGGAGTCTGATTGTTCCGATCGAGTAGACCGTATCCCCATCAAATCCAGTGAGTGGCTTCACAGAGGCTTTGAGGTGGTGGTTCGCCAATTCCATTTTATCGAGAGTCTCCTTGAAAATCAGATCCACTGAGCTTCCTGTATCGATCAAGATCCGTGACACCTCACAATCTGCAATCCGCAGCTCGATCACAAGCAGATCATTGTGTGGCATGTCTACTCCCTCCGCGTCGACCTCTGAAAACGTGATCGTATCACTTTCAGTAGCTTTGGGACCTTTCACTCACCACTTCTGAGCAAGCATGACTTGCCGGCCGTACTTCTTTATTGACCGAACAGAATCATTGCATGATTACAGGCCTCCCATAATCATGAACACCTTTTTTCGAGATGCCGGGGGGGTGTCACCCCGAGGCTGGTTACCTCGATCTCTCTTTGTGAGATCGTCGTTTGCTTGTTCGCTTGTTGGAGGAGGAGGTGGAAGCTGCTCGACGGGTACCGGTGGTCGAGTTTCGTTGTTGTGTGGCGTGGCGCTTTGGGGTTGGTTTGCTAAGGCGATCTCTCCCTTGCGATACTTTGCGAGTAAATAGGCATGTAGCTCACGACACATCACAATCGGATGGCCATACTTGTTATCGTAATCGCAGAAAGGCCTTGTCTCTCCGTAATCACCTCGTTGCCATGTGTTTGATTGAGGTTGATACTGGCTATTCTGTTGCTGAGCGTTAATGTTGTACGCCGTTCCTCGCCTGTTTTCACCTCAGTAGTTTTTATCTAGGTGTTGTCTAGGCTCCTGGTAGTCTTGCTTGGGGGTTTCTTTGGGAGGTTGCTGTCTTGGTGTTGCCTTTGCTGGCGATGCGATCTCTTTCTCCTCTTCGTCTTCGATGTATAAGGTGGCGCGGTGAAGCGCATCTTCAAGAGTTTGCTGAGCGCCGAATTTGAGAGTATCCTGGAACTTTGTGTCAAATCGGAGAGCATTCCTGAGGGCTGAGATCGATGCCTCGTCAATCACTGTGACGCAAGAAATTATCGCGTTGAATCTGCCTATGAAGGAATGCAGGGATTCTTTTCACCTTGCTTGATTTGGAAGAGATCGGCACTGGATACTGCTCCCTGAATGTACATCATGTACCTTTTGAGGAAGGCGGTCGACAACGCTTGGTAGCTGTCAATCGAATTCGCTTTTAACTTAGAGAACCAGACGAGAGCCGCACCGCTGAGATTCTCGACGAATAGCTGGCAAAAACCTGCGTCTTTCTCTTTGGGGGTAAATCGTGCTCGACCCATTTGAATGCTGAACACGGTCATATACTGGCTAGGGTCCGAGTTGCCTGTGTACGTTGGGAGGTTGAACTTTACTTGATTTCTTATCGGGAAATCGGTGATTCGAGTCGTAAATGGGGTGCTTTGGCTTTCTTTCAGCACACGATCGATCTCAGGTGCCGAACTGGTAACTTGGTGTACTAGCGAGGTCATGGCTTGCAGCCTTACCCTCATTTCATTCATCTCTTTGTCTTGTTGGGGGTTCCTGATCTGAAGTTGACGTGTTTATTGCTCGGGAACTCTAGTATTCACCTCACCATATTCGAGGTCGGGTGATTTTCTGTTGCTGATGGTGCAGCCGAGTCTCCGAATAAGACGCGTTGCACGCGCTGGATTTCTTGTGCTTGCCTTCCCGGCGCTTGGGTTTCTGATGAGTGCAACACATTGACTTGATCTTGACATGAAAGTTGTGCTGCAGCTAGTTCGTCTAGGCGAACACTTGTCTGACGGTTTGATTCCTCCATTCGAACCATCATTGTTTCGAATAACGTTGCGACATCGGTGCGGGCCGGTGTGCTTCAGTTTACAATCTGCACTTCTGGATTTAAGGTTGTGTTTTCCACGGGATTCGGCGTCGGTGATCGCCTGTTCGAGGTTTCTTGGTCGTTGGTTGGTGGCACGTTGAACCCTTCCTTGGCAGTTGTCGATGTAGGCAGACTGGTCGTCTCGTTGGTTTGAATTCCTGACATTATCGAGCTCCTATTTGCGTAGAAAGAAATCTCTTAGCCCCACGGTGAGCCCCAATTGTTTGTTCGTATAAGCACACGAGGTTAATTTAGTAAATATTGTTGAGGGCAGTTCGGAGATTCTTGTTAAATAGAGTCGAGCTCGATGTAATATACTTAAGCGAGGTCTCTTGATTGAGGTGAGAGTATGTAGTTTTATATTTGTAAGTGTCGAGTTCTTAGTCTTTATTTCAGATTACGGATCCCGTAATAAATGAAATTACATGACTATTTATAGTGTTAAGATTAGGTTACATTTCGATCAGAGTAGATTGAATGGCCGGGCAGGTAAAACTGACCAACCGTCTATCTGGGTGTCGTACTAGCGAGCTGTTTCACTCATGTCGACGTGGCGAGCTGCTCCTTAAACTCGTAAAGCCCGTCTCTTGAACGACCTCGTTTTGGCTCGTCGAATGGGCTTTTAACGACTCTTGGTTTCGTTGGGCTTCATCAATTAGCTAATGAACCTGATCGAAATTACCAGAAGGAGCTGTGCTCAGCCCACCTATAACAACAAGGATTTTGGACTGTTCTGCTGTGAATAAGCTTCATTAAGTGAGTTTTCACTTTCTGCGAGTTCTCTCAAAATTTGAATAGAGAATGGGATATAATAGATAAAAACAAAATTGTGACTTTTGTGACTTTTTAAACTTGATGTGACTTTTTTTGCTAGATGTTAATGTTTTGCTTAGTCTTACATTTTTTAGTATTGATTACATTACGTGTTTTGGGTTTTCGTCACCACTGAACTGTCCGATTGATTCGGTTTCGGATTGCATTATCTGGTGATTACTGATTTTTCTTTATTGTTCCACCATATAGATATAAGAGAGGACTGAGCACGAAAATAATTTTTTTTTAAAAAAAGAAGATAAGTAGAAATATTAGAGTCTTAGAGATGCTAAAAGGTTACGAGTAATGGTGGATTCCACAGCCTGTCTTCAATATGACCATGATGGTTCTTTTTAAGAACTTAAATATGACCATATCAGGAACTTCAAATATTTTGATTTTGACATCTTATTCTATCATATAATTAGAAAGATTTCTTTTCATCTAGGGTGTCTACCTGAAAAAAAAAACTAAAATTAAAGTTAATGATTCAATTAATTCACATATTTTGAAATAACTAACTATTATTTTTATTAAAAAAAAGAAAAAAAAACACTACCACCAATTTAATTAATTTACATATACATATTATTTTTCATATATTATTTTTCATCAAGAAGAATAAAGCAAAAACTGGAATAAAAATAAGAAAAAAATTGAGAAAACGATAATGATTAAAAAAATCAAAAAACGATGAAAAAGAATTAAAAAAAAAACACAATATATAGAATAGAACGCAGGTGAAAATGAAGTAAGTAAATATATATCAATAAGTAAAAATAAGAGACGAAACAAAATCAAAGAAAGAAGATAAAAAAAATATCGAAAGAGAAAAAAGAACTACAAGAAAATAACCATTTTACGGCGGCCATAATCTTTGTAAAATAAGTTTAGGGACGATTGAGCGAAAAATTCAATTGATGAAAAGGAATGAATAAGAAGATGAAAAAGGAAAGATAAAAAAGAAGAGGAAAAAGAATATGTAGTTAATGAAGAAAAATTCAGAAAATACGTAAATAAAGACGTGAAGATGAGAAATGAGACGAAAGATGAAGATAACAAACTATAAGAATATGAAAAGAGCTCAATAAAATCAAGAAATATAAGAAGAAAAAAAACAAATACGATGAATTAGTTGTTCAACAATCTTATATATAAAAGAGGGCCAATTATCTCCATATGAGTGCTACATCAGCATTTGAAAGTTAATATGGGGATGATATGTGTCATATTTTTTAATTTAAAGTTATAATTTGCTAAAAGTAGATAAATTAATAAATTTTAGTATTAAATTTTCAACCATTCAAAGAAAATGAAAAGTTTTGTTTTTATTAATTGATACTTAAATAATATTTATCTAAATATTAAACAAGAATTTTTGTTATAATTATTTAAAAATATTGATGATTTTTTTGTATAAACTCTCTTATATATAAAAGAGTGATAAATCTCTCCATATGAGTGTCACATCAGCATTTGAGAGTTAATATGGAGGTGACATGTATCATATTTTTAATTTAAAATTATAATTTGTCAAAAGAAAATTAATTAATAAATTTTAGTATTAAATTTTCAACCACTCAAAGAAAATATTTTTTTTTAATTAATTGATTCTTAAATAATATTTATCTAAATATAAAACAAGAATTTATGTTATAATTATTTAAAAATATTGATGATTTTTTGTATGAACTCTTGATTTTTTAATGATATTTTATTTGAAATTATTGCTTAATAATAATAATATATTAACACATAACAAATGATGATTATTGGGTTAAAAAACATCATGATTATATTTTTTCAGGAAAATAAAAAAATATATAAATTTGAAATAGTTGAAGAAAAAAATCTACACGTTATGTGCGGATATTCACCTAGTTTCTAATAATAGTTGTTTAAAAATGAAATTTCATGCATTGCGCGAGTATAAATCTAGTTTAGTTAATAAATGTAGTGATATTTTTTGTGTTCTTGTTTTGTTTCTGTAATTAGAGTCATTTCCACTTTAATTAGTCATTTCTTTTTTTTTTTTCGGATTGTAAGAAACCATCACAGACCATTTCCATGTGGATGGTGCAGAACCTACTATTTCTCGTACCAATATGAAGACAAAATGACCAGTATTCTGATTCGGTCGTTGATTTATGTGAAAGACACAAAAAGGCTCATACTTGTAAACTATCTTGGTCGCTTGGAACAAATCAAGAAAATTTGTCTTTAATTCTTCAGTTGCCGTCAAAGATATTTTCCTATCTAATAACCTTACATCACTCTTGTCTCTTGCTATGTCGATAAACCTAGCCTTGTTACATGCTTTCAACAACTGTCAGGAATCTCAAAAGCCTCACTCTTTAACATTATCGATGTGTTTTTCTGTAGTATCGAAGTTAGACAAATCACATAATATTAGGTGGTTAGTTATAATGGCTTAATAGAGTTGCTTATATTGGGAACTTGTCTAAAATATCTAAAATATCACACTTTTGTTTCAAACTTAGCACACTTATAATTAAGGCTGATAATTTTTGGGTTCGTTGCTACTATTGTGGGATTATATCGAGTCATATACCAAGTGGAGTTGACCAGTTTGTAAGTTATTAGGCTTAAAAGTGATTAAAACCCAATCACCTGTGACATTAGAATTTCAATATTTTTGCAATAAATAAGTTCAAGGGAGATAACATAATATTTGTGATCATGTTAAATATGTTCTAGAGTGAGAATATTTAATTTAACCACTCTCTCCATAAAGATACGGACATCATATTCAATGAGTTGGAGTAGGTACACCAACTCGAGATATCATTACACATCAACACGACCGTTCACACAGTCTAGAATGTCCTCCACATTTAATAATGTCTATATCAACCCACAAAATGAAACTGAAGCCACAAAACCCCACAAAGTCGTCTTTTTCACTATGGCTACTTTACTCTCCTTCGTTCTTCTCTCTTCTCTAACCCTGTCCCTCGTCTTAATTCTGGTCTCAGGAGACACCCTCGAACGTGATTTCTTGCGTCAAAAGAAAGAAAAACTAACTCATTTTCAAGTGTATTGGCACGACATCGTGGATGGCAAAGATCCGACTTCGGTCCTAGTCATGAATCCTCCGAACAACACGTCGCCAACAGGATTCGGACAAATGCGTATGATCGATAACCCTTTAACGCTTACCCCAAAATTAAGCTCCAAAATGGTGGGAAGGGCACAAGGGTTTTATGCAGCAACATCTAAAGAAGAGTTGGGATTGTTGATGGCTATGAATTTCGCTATTACTGATGGGAAATACAATGGAAGCACGATCACCGTGTTTGGGAGAAACTCGGTGCTTGATAAGGTGAGGGAGATGCCGGTGATCGGAGGAAGTGGACATTTCCGATTTGCCAGAGGTTATGCTCAGGCAAGAACGCATGTCTTTGATCTAAAGAGTGGGAATGCTATTGTCGAGTATAATTGTTATGTTTTGCACTATTGATTTTTAATTAGTTTTTTTTTTATTGTATGGTTTTTCCTCTTCACATAGTGGTGGTGAGACAGACTTTTCCTTTCACTTTAGCGATGACGATCTATCTCCCTTTTGAAGTTTTCATATAGCACCGTATGTACACAAAGTTTCAGGTCTAGTTCTAGTTCTCCGTCAAATTACAGTTCTAAACCAATTAAGTACTTGCACATAAATTAAAATGAAAAAATAAAAGTTCGAGACTTGTATATACATAAACTAGGATAGTATCCGTGCTTAAGTAGTATAATGACTTGGGTAGTAATTAGTAGTTGATATATTTGAGTATTTTGTAGTATTTGATAGAAATTTTTATTTTTAGCGTATGTTATTTTTAGTTAAAAAATTAAATGTGAGATATGGATTTTATATATGTAAAATAAAGGTTTGAATTTTTTTTGAATTTATTGTTATTTTTATTTTTTTAAATATATATGTTGTGAAGATTCTTGATGGTTTATGTGTTTTCTTGAATCTGAACTGTATATTCAAACGTTTCTTTTTACTATTTTTATTGTTACTACTTATTTGGTGTGAGATTTTGAAGATTTATATGTTATTATATCTATGAAATTTTGAAAATTGCTACTTTCTTTTAAAATATTTAAAATTTTAGTTTATTTCATTATGGTTTAAAATTCTTAAGATTCTTGTAAAAATTCATAAAAAAATAACTTGTTCACATTTTTATTCATGAGATGATTTATTTTTTAAAAGCCAGAAAAATAATTTTTTATCATTAACAAAAACTGTTATTTATTATTTTAAAATCAAATTCTCGGCAATATTTGTATAGAAATACATTAGCAGCCCAAAGTTAAAATCCCTATCAATCACTTTTTTATGAGGATTTTAAATTGAGAATAATTGTAAGAATAAAACATCAACAAAAATTTATAAATCAAGATCAATCTAATCACTTAGAATTTTACCCGTATGATGGTTATATATTAGAATCATTCAAACAATTCAACTATTGTCATATGTCTCTTACTTATACTCGAGTTTGTAACTTCGCCTATCCATCCCTCTCTTCCTCTGTCCATCTGTCCTTCTCTCCCTCTCCTTTTTCTCTCCCTCCTCCCTCCTTCCCTTTCTCATTCCTTCCATCGTTTCCTCTCTCTCCCACCCTCTCTAGATTATAGACGTGTGTTGTACACAGATTTATTGTTATTTTTAATTTTTTATGTATATACATGTAAATATTTAAAATAGTATATATATTATTAAGGCATTTTTTGTCAGTTTTTTCTCTTTTTATTCATAAATACTATTGTACTAATGTTTGATTCTTAACTTCTTTTCAATATTGTTATCAAATTAACTCACTTTTATTTATAATTTAAATTCACTACAACATTTTCTGAATAGTAACTTAACGGCATGAGATTAAAGTTCGTACTAATCGCCACTCTATCAAATATAGGAACTTACAGCTTAGAATAATTATAAGGGTGATACATTAGCAAAAAAATATTAAATCAAGATCATATTAATAGTTTAGAGTTTTTTCCATTTGGTGAATATATATTAGAACTGTTCAAAATCCCAACTCAACTATCGTCATCAGTCTCTGGCTGATACTCTGATTTCTAATTAAACTACATATTCTCGGTTTCATTATAATCTCATATCTAAACCATTTCTGTTGAACTATATTTACTATTTTCTATGTGACACTTTAAAACTTTTACTTTATCTTAAAATATTTAAAATTTAATTTATCCAATCAAACTTTTTTTGTTAAAGCATCCAAAAAAAAATTAACACTTTTAACTGTTACTACTCTACTAAAATTTCACACAGTCTAACTTAGTCTAGATCCTACAATTGATTTTTTTTTTTTAAAATAAACAAAATAGAGATTTTTTTAATCATTATCCATTATTTTAGAGTCAAATTCTGTACAACATTATCTTCAAAGTACCTTAATATCTTAAAGTTAAACTCACCACAAATCACCTCTCTATCAGACCGAAGAAAATTCAGCTAAATAAAAGTAGGATTGACACATCATAAGAGTTTTTAAAAGAAAGCTTAAACTAATCTTTTAGACTTTTATCCATATGATGAACTTACATTTGAACGGTTCAAAATTTTAACTCAACTATCATGTCATCTATTTCTTGTTTTACTCGATTTTATACTTAAATTCCATCTTATACAACATATTTACAAAATTCTAAGACATTCAAATTACTAATACAAAAGTATTAGCTAGACCTAATTACCGTCTTTAAAAATAAATTACTTATTTGACTTTTTTAGCTTCCGAATAGCTTGATATTTTAGCTATATTTGAAATGGCATTAGAATTAGTACACCATTAGAATTAGTATAAAAATATATTAAATAAACTCCACGATGTATATTAGGTTTAGCTATAAGACAAAAGAAGCCAAACAGTTTTACAATGAAAATGTCTTATTTTTAATACATATAAGAATGAGAATCTCGAATGAGAATAACTTTATATATATATATATATAATTATTTTATCATCTTGAGATTATATTGTATACGTAAAATAACACATTTTAAGCAATCTCATTTGGACAATCTAAATAGTTTAGATAAAATTGTGTTTTTCAATATGAATAATCAAATTTACCATATGTACTAATTTTTTTTTTCAAGTGCATACAAATGCATATATTAGTCCACTGGTATTTGCACCAATTCATCAAAGGATTCCAAATACTAAACGATATAATCTTCAGTTAAGATCAATATATAAAACCCAAAATTTGATACAAAATAATAAAAAAATAAAGTATTTTCATAATTCAAAACTTTCTTAGGCCTTGTAAAGGTGGTTAGGCGCATAAAACTTGGTATTTGTCATTTTGTCACAAAAACTTGGTTTATTTCTAATGGACTTAGAAATAATTGTTAAAATATTTTGAGGATAGTCGCTATTATAAACGTAATTAACGTCAAATATTTTAAAAGATATTGTTAATGACAGATTTTTATCTCCCGTTTAAAAGATTTAAAAATTTGATTTAGTTTTCTTATTTTTCAGATTTAACCACAAAAGATGCAAATATGCTTTACAATTTCCTAGTTTTTGAAATATTTAACAGATCTAATAATCGTGCTACTTTTACCTCAGTTTTTTTGTTAACTTCTAAATATATTATTTATTCATTCCCTGATTGAAAAAATTTAAACTTTTTATTAGATAACTCTAAAATTATGACAGAATGTTTTATACATAAAAAAATAGAGAACCAGGTCAATTATTATTCTATTCCTATGTATGACAGCTTGGCTAACGAAGTAAGCAACATACCTTTAAATTTTTTGATGTATCAACGAATATGTAAGTATATAAACTATAGATTAAAGCCATTCACCACTGTTGTAATTATAAGAATAAATATGTTGATGTGTGTTTAAGGAATAAAACTCTTAGAAACAAAACAAATCAAATCCTCATACGATCGAAGCAACAAAATACAATTCAAATTTTTGCAACCAAAAAAAAAAAATACAATCCGAATGTGGAAGTCATATTGAGACCATAATATTTGTTTTTAATCAAAATATTGAGACCATAAATAAACAAAGGAAACTTTAAGACAAAAAATACAAAAAAAAAACAAATAAACGGCTATTTTCTCAGCAGCGTCTTGAGCTTTAACCCCTTAATTACTCAGAGTGAAGAAACAACAGCCATAGTTATTATCAAGAGAAGCAGCCTTTTTCGATTCTCATGAGGATTGGGATTTCCATCTCTTTGTTTTTGCTTCTCTGTATTCATCGCCTTTGCCACCAAGTCCATATTTTCCGATAGATGTTAGATTAAGTAGGTAGCAAATTCGTTAAAAGAAAAATATCAATACATGTTTCTTGTTAAATAACAGGATATATATATTAGAAATGTGTCAGTAAATAAGATATTTATGTGATCCATTGCAAGAAACCAGTTCATATATCCTTCTGGTCCAAAGTTAAAGAACTAACAATCATATAATACTAATATCATTTCACAAAACTATAAGACTCAAAATTAATTTTAGTGAAACAGATCCATACCTGAAGATTCTAGCATGTCTTTTCAGGTGATATTATTACTACTGGTTAGCTTTTAGATGCTGCTGGTCCTTAAACAATCATATAAATTTCTGTAAATATTCTATAAAAAAAAAACAAATCATTGCTATTGAACAAATGCATAAAGAAAAAAAGTTTAAGCGAGTGAGAAAATTCAAAGAGATTTCCCCATTGATATTGTCAATCAAAACTAAGAGAACACCTTTATTTTTTTTTTAAATAATTTTTTTAGATATGGAAAAGACATCAACCCAGTTGAGAATATTAGTCAGAACTCGAAGGGAAAAGAACAAAAAAACTTTAGTTTCGGAAAGTTGCAACTTTAGGAACATAACAATACCTTCCTTAGTAGCATCATGTTACTGATGAACTTCTTGTGCGACGATGAAAGATTGATGATGAGCTTTACCAAGAAATTCCATTCATATTCAACAAATGCGATCTTGATTCATCATCTGAAACATATGAAAACACATATTAAGAATTTGTGAAATAGTCTAGATTTATTAGTCAAAGAGAGAGCTGTAATAATACATATGCACATCAATTAGAAATTCAAAACTTATGTTCGTTTAATGGAATACGTTGTTATATAGTAAGAAATGAGGAAAGTGAAAGATCTTTGAAAATAATTCCAAGATTTGAATTGAATAGTAATAATGAACGAATATACAAATGCTATAAATTATAGGATATTAATTTGAAAGAGACGAAATTTTAGGTAAGCCGTTGAGAAGTTTTTGTGTTTAGAAGATATAACAGTTAATAAAACTTGCTTCAAAAGTTTTAGGAGTAATATACCACTCATAATTAAGTCAATTAAGTCCGTAAAAGAATTATATTAGGAAATAAAAAATTAAATACATAATATCATAATAATGAATCCTTCTATTTTAATAAACATTAAATAAATAGTATCATAATAATGAATCACTGACTTAAACATTCGTATTAGTTCTGAAGCTAAAAAATTACCAATGTTCTTTCATTTGATCTTTGTTGGATCTGATGTATCAACAGAAAATGGTGTCTTTAACTTATTGGCCATATAAACACCAATAAAATGTCTTCATAGTGGTGGAAGTAACCACATCTCATATAGATATAATCTGTGGACATACCAAAAACAATTTTAAATATAATTTGTTTGTTTATTAACTAACAAAATGGTTCACCTAAATTATAATTATAGTTAGACAAAACGAACAAAAATACTTACAATTTCATGATAGAGATACCAACGAAGCTTGATCTCATAAATTGTACATTTGGCTTCCATCTGATGATCAAACCATGTTAAACAATAAAGAAGAAACGATTAACCTATATAAAAAAGCTTTGTCATAAAATTTGAAAACTACTTTACATATTCATGAAATAATACAGATTTAAGTGTTTTATCAAGACTCCATTATCTCATAATCTGAGAATATTAACACTAATTCGTCAATCATACCTACAAAGAATCAAATAAAATATATTAGAACCATACAAAAGTAAAAAAAAAAATGCAGGAAAAAAATTGTGAGAATGACATTGATAGAATGCATATTTATAAGGACACAAGTGTACGTAAGAAGCTTCATCAATTTAATTTTAAAATCAAATCAAATTATTGTTATGAATTTATTAGCAGCGCACCTAATGGCAACAAATTAGGAAATAAAATAATTAAAAATATTTTATTCTTCACCACAGATATTTTGAACAAAATCACATGCATATTTGGAAGAAGTAATCATAACTAACCAAATTTGAATAAATTTCAAAAATAAAAGTAATTATTTTTTCTGTATAATGTCGAGTTGTTAAGCTAAAATTTAGGAAACAATATAATATTTAGTTAAATATTTAAATGATTCCAAAAGTAAAATTAGGAAACTAAGATTTAAAAAATTATAGTATCCCTCAGTTATAGCAAATAATCATTTTTGATTAGATTCGATTTATGAATTTATTAACTTAATTTAAAAGAGCTGATCCCTCCACTATAGCAAACAACCCAATTTAGATATACAATTTTTTTTCTGTTAAATGTATTCAATTTATTAGTTATATTCCTAACAAATAAAAAATTTATAGATATGTTAGATTAATAATTTTTTATCTAAGAAATTAATTTTTATTAAGCAATTATGTTCTATTAATTTTTAACGAATTCAGTTATATGAAATATATTTAATTTTATTATTATATAATATATTTTTTATAAATTTATAAAAAATATTGTGTTTGTTGTATTTAAAATATTTCAAATGCATGGATATATATATATATATATTTGATAAAAATATATATATATATTGTATAATGGTAAATAAAGATTATTATATAATGTAATTATTGTAAGCTATTGTTGAACTAAATCAGGAAAATGAATAAAGAATAAGTAATTAAGAATTTTAAATGTAATTGGTCGAGAAAGCTAAATAAAGAAAAAAAATTAGGTGGAATAGAATGAATTATTTAAATGAAAAAGGCTGAGAAAAATTGTGGTAGCGACACCTCAGCAAAATGACCTCCAAATTCTTCTTGTTTAATGTATAGAGGATGTTTATCTCCAAAACCGAAACAGAACCAACTAAACCCAATACCAAACCGATTGAAAACCCGACTAGACCTAAAACTCATCTAGTTGTAAATACTAAATAGTACTGAAACCAATATTTTTAAACCCAACCTTGATCCGCGGTCAGACCACCGCATCCGGTGACCTGTCATAAATTTTGGATTGGATTTAATTTTAATATCTGCTGTATAAAAATTCGTTAAACTCGGCAAAAACTTTACAAACTCGCGATCGGGCTAGTGGTCAATTCTGCAGTTTAAAATTTCTTTATTTTAAAAAAAATAATAAAAATTTGATTTTAAAGACCTTTATATCAAATAAAAGGTTTGTTTGTGGTTTTCTAAGATTAAGGGTTTTAATTTTTTTAAAAAATTATATATAATGCTAACTAAACTATGTAATTTGTGATTATTTATATTTTGATAAAGATTTCGCTATGTCATCCATAAAACTGAAGAGAATGGTGATAGAGATAACGCAGATTGGTTGAGATAATATGTTTATTAGTTCACATTTGGATTAACTTTATGGTTATCATTATTTATGTTAGACCTTATGATTATCGTTACTCATGTTAGACATCTTCATATCTATTAGACTATCAATCTTCAGACTTGTTTTTTATTTAGTTTTAGTGCTAATTTATCAGAAAATGTTTTGTGAACTTGTGTTAAATAATTATCATATAATTAACTTTTAACTATATTCTCAATATATATATATATCATGATTAATTTATTTGTTTGTGGTTGAACCACGCTTGACCCGATGACCCATTGATCCAAAATGTATTTTGGTTCACTATTCGGGTCGGGTTTAACAACATTGACAGGAACTAATACACTTTATTTTGTAATTTTTAAAATTATGTTCATTTTTCAATCGAAATAATATCATTAATTTTTTTATAAAAAGACTTAAATTTTTATTAATATATGGCCTTATTTACAATATGATTCTTCCAACTAAATCATATGTACAACATATACATCTGAAAATTAGAACTGAGGTTGTACTATATTTACTCAACTCCATATCTCTCTGTCTGAAACATAGAATCCATTGTTATTCTTGTCTGAACCGAGTCTCCACTTCTCAATACTACAATCTGACAAATTATAATAACATCCATGAATCTTGACTTCACCTCTCTTCACTCTATCTCTTATCCATGGATACGTTACCAAATTCATCACAGAATCCTTTATTGATTCCTATCCACACAAAAGAAACACATACACAAATAAGCTTCAAGTACAAGTTACCTGAAGTGACAGAGAAGATATTTGAAATTAGTTACCTTCTCACAGTTTCTGCATTGTTCATCAAAGCTTAAGTGTGATGAAGCTGCTTGAGTTCTTAACTTAGCGGCTTTCCCATTCATGACCCATCTCTCTACTAAACTATACGCACAAAAGTTGTTGCAACAATCATCAAGAACAATTTGAAGAGCTGTTTCAATTTTTAAAAATTGCTTATATATCTTACCTATATTGATTTTCTTGGAGGTTTTGATGGCTCATAAGGGCTGCGATTCCTCCGCAATTGCTATGACCCATTACTATGATATCTTCAACCTATACAGAGACAATATGAGTATCCATTCTTTTGCTACAATTTTCACTAAGTTTAAGCTTACCTGAAGAGTAGTGACTGCAAATTCAAGAGCTGAGTTGGTTTCTGTTGGTCCATTCTTTCGAAAACAAAGGAAAACATCAAAAGGGTTTCAGAGGCTTTCTTAATGAAGAAACTGTAAGGACAAAAAGAGTAAATGGTGAATGCACCTGAATTGGGGTAACGAGATTGGCGACATTTCGGATAGTAAAAGCTTCACCTGGTTGAAATCCTAGTACATAAGATGGACATACCCTTGAATCTGCACATCCTATCACCATAACCTGTTTTTTTTTTCCCTATCCTTGTCAGTTTGGTTTAACCCGCCAAAATATCTCTACCAATCAGACGCATACTCTGCTATTTTGGAGTTTGATGATAAAGTTTGAAGAAAGAGTTGAAATAGTTAGGATGATACTCACCTTTGGTGATTGAGCTATGGCCAAAGCTTGAAACTTTTCTATCTGTGGTCTGATTAAAATTGAATCAAAGAAGAACAGAGCAAAAGAGAGAGGTTCAAGAAAATGAAACAGAGAAAAAGACAGAGGATCAAGAAAATGACTCAGAGAAGAACAGAGCAAAAGACAGAGGATCAAGAAAATGAATGTTTTGCTTACAGATACTTTTGTCTCTTGAATCTCAGAAATCTCTGTCTCATCTCACCCAAAAAATCATAACTTGTCTCAATTTCTCTGTTCCCTTGCATAAATTCTTCTCTACTTCCCAATTCCTGAACCATGTTCGTCCTCCTAAGAAAAACAGAATGATATCTGTCTTTATTCTTTGATCCCCATTAGTTTGTCTTAGCGTTTCCTCTTAAATGAGTAGAGTTTTATTATTGCAAAGATTCTAGCTTTATGAAAACGCAACTATGTAGAACAGAGAACATAATCTATCTTTATCACCTGGGTAATAATCTAATTGATTTTGCTTCACCAAGATGAAACCGATCCGATCCCGTTTGCTGCAGCTTCAACAAATAAGAATAAATTCAGGTTATGTAATTAAGGAGATGAAGATCAAGATGTGGGACTCACTCTGTGAAGAAGACAACCATTGCTATGAATTGAAGTTGCAGAGACTAATCGACGAGCTCTCCCACCTGAAAATGGAAGTGAAATGAGGACGTTTAAAGAAATATGTTGACCTGAACTGTGACCAGCTTTGATCATAAGACTCACATAATGTTAACGCCATTTTTGCGGAACAGTCTTTTTTTCTTTTTTTTTTTTTTCTTGCAAGGTCTTTGATCTTCACTGTTATAGTATCTTTAAGATATTTGTTTTGGTATTATTCCTCATCAGTAGTGCAAAACGAATCCTCTTTTGGATTGATAATATTATCAAGAAAAAAAAAAACTAAACAGAAATTAAATCAATAGTGAAACATATATAACTTGCATCACTAAAATCAATCTTTTATTTCAAGAAAAGAGAAGTAAGAGGAAAAGTAAGGTACAAAGAGGTGGCAAATGCTTATCCAGAGAAGAAGGAAAGTTACGCACGGGATACGTCTCATTGCCTTGTCACATGTCATATCCACTTGCCAATAATACAATCCTATTCATTTTGTAGATAAGAAAATAAAATATATATAGTTTATTTCGAACCATTACCTGAACTCATAAAAGAAGTCAAAGTCTTCCTCCAATTCCAAAGCTACTTCAGGAAAGTCAAAGTCTTCCGCAAAAGTTGGCCACACACATAACGTCAGTAAATATTCTTTGTCAACTTGAGATTATTAAAAATAAAGACTTGGGAAGAGTTAGTAACATCAAACCAGAAATTCTCAATGTTGATGTTCTCCACAGCATGTTTCACTGTCATGATGATGATGATGATGATGATGGTAATGCTAGTATCAGTGAAGGTGAATGGGTATAGAAGTTGCATTGAAAGTGAAAGGAAAGGATTGTTGGAGCTCAATGAATATGTCAACAACAACACCGATTTTCCATATGATTGGTCTAATGCTACGAACAGCGACTGTTGCAGATGGGAAAGAGTCAAGTGTGATCTTACCAGCGGGCGTGTGATTGGCATCTCCATGGATTTTACAGACAAACCTCCGCCTCTACTAAATCTTTCCTTGTTCCATCCCTTTGGAGAATTACGGATTCTAAATTTAAGTTTTTGTTCGAGTCCCTGGTTCGATGATATCTATGGTATCTTATATCATCTTTGTTTTCTTTCATTTACACAAGTTCTAAACTCGTAACTAAGCCATAGTTCCTTTTCTTGTATACATCATTGTGTTTTTTTTTTTATTTATTTGCAGGTTATAAAAGCCTCGGGAGGTTGAAAAAACTTGAGGTCCTTGATCTTAGCAACAACTACATGAATAACAGTGTCTTACCCTTTTTGAATGCTGCTTCATCGCTTAAGACTTTGATTCTTCAGGGAAACAATTTAGACTGGACTTTTCTGTTGAAAGGTACCGTCCACGTTTATAGTAGCTGAATATCAAGTGTCTAATTTGAGTTATATTTATATAGATCGATATGTTTAGTTATGTTTTTGTAAGGGGTTTTAATCTTTTGTTTTTGTGCATGGCCACCTTTTTGTGCAGAACTGAAAAGCTTGAGAAACCTAGAAGTGCTGGATCTAAGCATGAATCAATTTAATGGCCCAGTGACAGGTAAATTAAGATACCAAAGTTTTCCTTCAAAGATCGAAAAATATAGATCTAGGACGTTAACTTTTTTGTATGTTTTTGGTTAATGAAGGTCGTTAACTTACTTACCAAAGAAAAAATTAAAATATTGGATACTTTTGTTTTTTTGTTTTTTTTTTTGGTGAGAGTTTGACCCTTTTTCTTGAACATTAGTTGAACATTTCGTACATTCTCTTTTCATATAACTTTGCGTTACCGCAGGCTTTGCGGATTTTCATAACCTTCAAGGCTTGGACTTGAGCAATAACGATTTTTCCGGATCATTGCAAAACACAGGTATATTTTAAATCAAATTATTATTGTTTTTTGTGAATCGTACATATTAATTGATGAGTTTAATTCTAGCAGAATATCAGCTATATATATATATATATATATATTTTTTTTTTTTTTAACGAAATATCAGTTATATTTACCGAGACCAATTCATCGTTTTTTAATTCATCATTTAATACGGAAACAAGTATAAAAACTGAAAATTCTTACTGATAATTGCAAAATGGTGAAATTGCGTTTTTTCAAACGCGATTCCACATGCATTATGCCAATCAACAAAAATCGGATGAATGAAATAAACACATATGAAAAAAAAACAAAAAAAGACATTAAGCAGAAAATGAGTTTTAAGTAAATTCTTTCATTCTGCAAAATTATTTTTGCCATTCGCAATTACATAATGTTACCTATGGAAGTTAATCCATTTGCGAGTTAAATATGCAACGGAAAAATGCTGCGAATCTCACTAGAGTGGCAAATCCCTCACAAATATACAAGGGAAATTGTCAAGAGTAAATTCGCCACAAAATTGCAACGGAGTTACGAGGAAATTGTGAGGGTTCGGGATCAAAATTTTTCATATATTTATTGTACTTTGAACAATTAGTTTTGAGTTAAAAGCAAAAAAAAAAGGTTAGCATGGAAGTTGTGATGAGACTAAACTAATATATAAGGGAATTGGACCAATCCACTCATTGTCAATTAGTCTTGAGTTGGAAGTTCAGAAACTTAATATGGTATCAGAGCCCAATCATACGCCGTTCTGTTTGAACCAGAATCACTTTGGCCTATCGAAAAAAGTCCAAATGATCTTAAAAAAAATCGGTCCAACTCAAATTAGTCGACCGATCTTACCCGAAATTAACCCTATGATGGAATATTGTCGAGATTAATGGCTAGACGGACCATTATCTCGAGGGAGCGTGAGAGAATATCCTACATTGGAAGTTAGAAGAGATCTTGGGTAGTATATAAGGGATTTGAACCAATCTAAGCATTGCCAATTTATTTTGATTTGGAAGTCCATAAAACTTAACAGTCCATCTTGAACCGAATTTTCACTTTAGGATCGGTAATAAACCTTTCTTGGGTTACTCTACTTCGGTCAACAAACGAGGTTTTGATATCATTTTAAGTTTCTTGGACTTCGAACTCAAAACCAATTGGTAAACAGTGGATTGGTCCAAGTCCTTTATATATCAGTTTAGTCCCACCACAACTTTCAATGTGGAATATATTCTTCACATGGAAACCACGGAAATGGTTATAGTTTTTAGAGAGTTAAGAGAGATATAAGTCCGAAACAATCTCATCACTCGATAACACTTAGTGAAAACTGGACATGTGATCGGTATATTAGACAAAAAACAATCTCCCCGCCCAGATGAAGATATTTAATGTACCTTACCTGATAGTTGTGTTTAAAGGAGCCTTGGGCTGTTTTTTACCTGCTAGGGGCCTGATGCATGCGGGTCTAGGGTTGTGTTTTTTTACAAGCCCATTTGTCCTGAAGAAGTTTTAAATTTATAAAACTCTAGTGTCTGCAAGTGCACAGATGTACGTTGTAGGACTTAAGGTGTCGATCCACAGGAAAGATGTTTAATCTGCAAACAAAACCAAACTGGGAGAGTAAGCAAAGTCATAAACTCATGGGTATTTGGGATTTTTGGTTAAAGAACCTAAACTAAACCCAATATAATATTTACGGGAAATAAAATGCAATGCAAATGAATTGTCAAAAGAATATCTCAAGGATGTTGACTCAAACTATAGACTCTAAACTCATAGGTGGCGATTTAGACTTCTCCGGTTTACTCTAATCGATGTCAAAGCATTTCTAATTAGCCTCCGGTCAATTTATCTTCATCTGTTTCTGGGATCTGTATGGAACTAGAATAGACATGTGTATGATTAACCAACTCTCGCCATTTTAATCAACTAATCACTCAAATCTGACATTTAACTCTCGCTCTCATGCTAGAAATAAGATCATGCATTAACTATTGAATTCGTCTGCTCACATCTTCTCTACAGGTAGCTTTCGACTCTTGTAGCGACTATGTTCTTCTGAAGCTAGGTATGGATGATTTGATACAACACTCTCATGGCTCTAATCGATCCTAGGCTCAGAGAATATGTCATGAATCTGCTCTCATGCAATATGAATAACTTAGAAGAGATGAGATCCAGAATATGGTCTAGAAACTTAGAAATCCTAATCGACATGTATGCCTATCGAAAACTCTTCAAACAACTTGACTTTCTGAGACAAATCTACATGATGCAAGGAATGATAAAAGACATGAAAAAATGCAAAAGATGAAACAGAAAAGTTAATTAGATAGAAAAGGAGAAAGAGCAATGGATCCAGGGAAGAATCCCCTTCTCCATCGCCTAACCCTAGAAAAACAAAGTTTGGTGGCTCAAAATCTCATTACAGGAGCACACACCGGTTTAGGGCTGCTAAGAAATGTATTTATATTTCCTAAGGTCTTCTAGGTGTCATTTAGGACGTCTCTGAAAAGGAATTATGAAATGGGCTTTGATGTTGGGCCTTGTGGCTCGGCATGGGTCCACCAGGGGTGAAAGTCTTCCGGGACAGGCAAAATGCATGTTTGCCGCGGGTGAGAGTCTTCTGGGGCTGGTGAATCTGGCCAACGTATTCTCCATGTATCTTTTGATTGAACCGTTAGATCTTCCTGATGTAAATTGCTATGAAAAGCTGGTTGTCTCCTCTTGAATGTCTCAAAATTTGAGCTAGATCAGACGGTGCAAAAGTCTTCATTTGAGGCTGAACTTTTGACGGTCTGACTCTGAGCTAAAAATGTGGATTTCTTTTATTTTGCCATATTTTTCCCTAAATTTCGTGAAAAGAGCCTTGAAACTACAAATATAGAAAAAACATAATAAAAGTTCTTAAAAATGATTAAAACCTTTGAAAAAGCATTTGAAATCAATGGTGAAAATGGGTACAAATACGGTGTTATCAACTCCCCTAAACTTAGACTTTGTTTGTCCTCAAACAAAACAAGATCCAATCTGGAAAAATATCAGTCAACAGAAATGAGAGGGAACTCAAAAATATCAACAACCATACTTCTAGACTTTAATTATGGACAATGCATCAATCAGATCAAGTCTACAAAATTCTCACCAAAATACAGACATCACTAATCCATTAATCCGTCATGAGAAAATCCACACACTTAGACCTAACTTCCAGTCAACTAGCTCTTAACATTCATTAAAGGTTACATTGGTTCTCATCAAAAGGATATTAAACAAGGCATTCAAGGCTAGGTAACAAAAGGCTTTTTAGTGGTGAAGCTTGATGTGTTTAGGGTTACATTTTTCTGGAGATATAAGATATTATGCAAAACAGCAAGAGAGGATGGATCTGTTGATACCCCCACAGTTTCCAGTCACATTCTCCTTGCTTCAAGATTTCGAATCTCCTTTCTTCAGGTTCTCCTTATAACTCCCCCAGACTTGGATTTTTGTCTAAGTTGTGAATTCATAACTCCTTAAGTGAATACTTATTGTCTTTGCTCAAATGGTTTCACCTTCTAAGACTCTTTAGACTTTTGGTTTCCTTTTCTTTCTTTCTTTTTCTCTTTTTTTTTGTTTTTATTTGTTTTTTTGTTTATTTTTTATTTTATTTCTTTATTGGAAATGGGAAACCGCGGCTTTTGACTTAGAGTCTTAGGGAGCACGAAAATTACCTTTAAGAATGAGCTTTCTGAGACATCATGAGGCTTGCTGAGGTTGCATGGTACACTTCCTTCTCTGTTTCATTCAGTCATTCTCTTGAGTGACTGAAAACTATGTTGTTCCTTCCGCTCCGGCATTTTTTCACATATCTGTCGACATAGACTTAAAAGAGAGTGCATGACGTTTGAACATGAAGGTTTGGGTTAAGGGTGAGGTACCAGCTAAGGATGAACTGGCCCTATAGGACAACAAAAAGTGGTAACAATGTGGTAAAGATGTCCTAGATGTATATCATGATGCCTTCTTAAAACCATTGATGAGAAAATTAGATGTCAAAATTAAGTCCAAGTAAAATGAGCTAGTATATCCTGTCAGAAAAGATCTCCATGAATAGAAGTCCTCTGGTAGGATTTCGTAGTGCAAGTACTCTAACTACCGCCTAGTCTAGTATTAAACCTTGAAAGAGCTTTTTATGAGCTGATGGTGTAGAAGTGAACATGTTGGTTATCATCATCAATTTTGTCATTATTCCTTCAAAATATGTTTGACATTTGAAAACACTTTTTGAAACTCAAAGACTTTTGAAATTTTTTAAGAAAATCAAAAAATAAAATAAAAAATTCTAAAGAAAAATGCAGAATGGAAGGGCTCATGCAAGAAAAAGTAATTAGAAAGTGATGGATGGAATCCTCCCCCAGACTTAAATCACACTGCCCCCAGTGTGACATAAATCAGGTAAAGATGAGAAATATAGTATGTGAAAATTTAAAAGGTGAAGGGAAAGAAAACTTACCTGGTGTTGGTGATGAATTGTGAGGTGGTTGTGGAGGTGGTAGGATGTTGAATGGTGGATAGTGGTTGATGTGAAGTGGTGCTTGATTAAATTTGGATTGATTTGAATCAAGATAGAAGTGGAAGTGGCTAAGGGTGGCCGAACTGGTGTTGGCCGCGGGTCAAGGTGTCGCGGCCACGGTGGAACACTTGCTGGCCGCGACTGAGCCTCCTTACAAAAAGAAGGTTAAACAAAAACAAATAAGTACCTAAATGGGTTGCATGGTTGAGTTAGATCAAACGGTGAGAAAATTTTTATTTGAGGCTGAACTTCTAACGGTTTGACTCTGAGCTAAAGATGTGGATTTCTTCCATTTTGCTATCTTTTTCCCTAAGTTTCCTGAAAAGAGCCTTGAAACAACAAATATAGAGAAATCATAATAAAAGTTCATAAAACTGATTAAAACATTTAAAAAACATTTGAAATCAAAGGTGAAAATGGGTACAAATACGGTGGTATCAGTGCCTGAATGTGTTGTGTTGTCGAGGTTTCCTAGCTCCTCAAATGTTGGATTGTCTGCTCTCTAGTTCATCTGGCAACATGGATGCACGGCTTCTTGATTATCTAGTTGCCCAAATGGGTGATCTTCTGGCTAGCTACCTTCTGGTCTTTGCTAAACCACGCATCCTCTAGTTCCACCCTTCTCTAGAGCACTTGGGACAAGTTGGTGATTTTCACACTTCTCAAGATTACTTGGCACGAGTTGGCGAATATTAGGAATGTGTACACTTGCTAAGATCACATGACACAAGTTGGTGAATATTGACACTTTCTCGATTACGTACATAAACTCTTCCAAATCTAAACCCTAAATGAAAAATAGTGAATGTGAAAATAGCAAACCCAAATTGGAAAATGTAAAATATGAAAATTATAAACATTTAATTTGTGTGATTAAAGACCTAAACATTTTAAAGCTTAGCAACCAACCATCTTAAACTTGGAAAATGTTTATTATCATTTATACTACTTTCTGAAACTTTTACCATGTTATATAAACTTTTAGATGTATATAAGTTTTGATATTTTTTAAGTGCTAACTAGGTGTTTGGCCTACACCTTGTGCGGGAATAGGGGTTTCAATGTTATAAACCAAAAACTGAAAAGAATTAAAATAACTATTTTATACATACATGATAAAATAAAACAAACAAAAAAGTAAACATCATCCAAAATTAAAGACAAAAATATTTACTAAATAATTGAATTCACAATCAATTGAACTAAGACAAAAGCAATTTTTTCGTCTAAACATAACTATTTTTCATCTTCTTATTTTTTTTTCTTTTATTTATCTTTTTAAAATTTTTTTATCGTCTTTTTCTTAGATTTCTTCATCGTCTTCCATCTTTATCTCTCCTTCTTCTTTCATGTCTTCTTCTTAGTTTTCTTTCATTTTCTTTTATTTCTTTTTCCTTCTCCTCTTTATTCTATATGTCTTTTCTTACTTCTTATTCTTTAATTTTTTTGTCACATATTCTTATTTTTTGCTGTTTTCCACATTTTTCCTCATCTTCTTCCTATATTGCTACTTCTTCTTTTTCATCGTTTTAGTCTTCTTCGTACTCTCTGACTTCATATTCTTCTTATTTTTATTCGTCTTTATATCAATTAAATACATGTACTTGAAAACTTTAACTTTCTCTCTCCCCCCTCCATGCGTCCCTCCTTATCATTCTCTCTTTTCCTCTCTCTCTTTCAATATTTCTCTCTCATTCTCTCCCTTCTCCCTTGTCTTAAATTGTATTATATAATTTTTATATATCATACGATTTAGATAACTACATTTAAAGTAAAAAATGTTTCAAATATTAAAAAATAGAAACACATAAAATACGAACTAACATAGATTTAATATCATGTACCTATAAGGTTTAACTCTCTCTGCCATTTCTTATTATTTTTTTGGTTTATATTCGTACAAACTTTAATATCGGTGGCCCATAACCAAAATGCTAGGGCCAACTAAGAGATCGGTGGCCCATAAACAAAATCATTGGTCCATAATCGAGTGAAAAAAGTCATATCACAGATATTTACATGTAAGATTAATGATCGATCTATCAAAAATAATTTAAACGTCACATAATTTTTTTAAATAATGACACATTAGACAATCGTTGTGGAGACGACACATCAGATTTTTGACTCACAAATAATAGTATAGATTTTAACAAGATTTCCCTAATAAATTTATGTTGACATAGAAAATTAACTAAAAGTTAATTAAACCTTATTACAACTCAGAATTATTTTGAGTAATATATTTTGTCTATGCCGCATAAGGGTGTTAAGTTAGTCAATGGTAGTTTTACCGGCAATGGCTTATTTCTGCAGATGCTCCTAATATATATTTTGTGGCCCTAGTAACCTGAACCAGAGATTTAGGAACTAACTCTTCTCGTCTTGTTGTCTTATTTCTCATTTTACACTTAGTTAATACTCTCTTTATTCCAGAATACTTGTTCTTTTAGGATTTTTACATTTCTTAAAAAACAATAAATACATGTTTTTATTAATTATTTTTTGCTCTTTTTAATTATTTTACTATTTTCAATAAATGTACAACCATTATTCCTACTTTTCAATATTATTTTAAAAATTTGATATTTTTACAACCAATATAAATTAAGTATTTATTTAATTAATAAATAAAATTGTATTAAATACTTCTAAAACATCATCCTTTGTGAAATAAAATTAAATCTTAAAACATCAAGTATTCTGGAACAGAGGGATTACTTAATACAGTACATGTCTGGACACAAAATGTATAAATGCTTTAAGACAACGTATACTTTGGTATTAATTTTAATCCAAACTTACTTTACTGAAATCAAATCGATTTAAATGTTTTATCTATAAAGTACTCCCTCAGTTTTTTTTATTAATTGTCGTTTTAGAAAATTTTGTTTGTTTTAAATTAGTTGTCGTTTTCAGTTTTCAATGCAACATTTATTAGTTTTTTATTTTTTATAATTATTTTATTATGCAATTTATTTTATTATTGGTTGAATTGTGTTTAAATAAATAATTAATGATGTTTTTATATTGAAAAACTAATACAATTAATATTTTCTTAATCTGTGTGCACAATCTTAAAACGACAACTAAATAAATCCGGAGGGAGTAATATTTTCACTGTTTCACAATAGATGATGTTCAAGATTTTTGCACACAGATTAATGAATTATTTAAGTTTTGATTTTCCTAAACTGAAACATTAATTATTATCTACCTATACAAATCAACCAATAATAAAACAATATAAATCAATTAATGATACAATAAAAGTTAAGAACGATTTTATTTAATTCCTAAAACACCAACTTATTATGAAAAGGATGAAGTATATAATAATCAGAAATACTTGTAGCTCATTTTAATTATTTCGTCTTTCTAATGCATGTAATTTACATGTGACTACTGCAGAGCTTTGTCAATTGAAGAATTTGCTGGCGCTCGATCTGAGTGAAAACAAATTCATAGGTCCACTTCCTCACTGTTTAGTGAATTTGACCCAACTCCAAGTTCTTGATATCTCTTCAAACCAATTCAATGGGACGCTTCCATCTGCTATCAGAAATCTTCATTCAATTGAGTACTTATCTCTCTCAGATAATGAGTTCGAGGGTTTCTTCTCTTTCGAGTTAATCGCCAACCTCTCAAAGCTCAAGGTGTTCAAACTTTCATCAAGATCTAGTTTGCTACGGGTTAAAACGGAAATCTTATGGCAACCGAGGTTTCAGTTGAGTGTCCTAGAATTACAGAATTGCAACTTGGAAACACTTCCAAGCTTTCTTCAACACCAGAAGGATTTGAGTGTAATCAAACTCTCAAACAACAAGATGACTGGAGAGTTTCCCTCTTGGTTTCTGGAGCAATTCCCAAAACTTTGGCTTTTGCTTTTGCAGAACAACTCTTTCACCATGTTTCAGTTGCCAAGACTACTACTTAACCACACTTTGCAGATTTTGGATGTATCAACCAATAGTTTTGATCAACGGCTTCCTGATAATATCGGAAACGTGCTTCCAAATCTACAACACTTAAATCTCTCGCACAATGGGTTTCAAGGGAAGTTGCCATCTTCCTTCGGTGAGATGAGAATGATCGATTTCTTGGACATATCTCATAATAACTTATCTGGCACTCTACCAAAGGAATTTCTCATCGGTTGTTCTTCGTTGGTTATCTTGAAGCTATCTTACAACAGATTCCGGGGCCAAATTTTCCCAAAACGTACAAGTTTTGAGAAGTTATACGTACTGGTTGCGAATAACAATCTATTCACTGATATCGAAGATGGATTGCGTCATTCGAAGTACCTATCTGTGCTTGACATGTCGAATAATAATCTACAAGGTGTCATTCCAAGTTGGTTGGGCGAGTTTCGTTTCTTGCATCTTTCCGTGTCGAACAATCTATTGGAAGGTATCCCACCAAGCAACCTTTTCAACATAACAAACCTTAAAATATTGGACCTCTCTAGGAACAAGTTTTCAGGAAACTTGCCTTCACATTTCAATGGTGAGAACATGAGTCTCTTGTACCTGCACGATAACGAGTTCACTGGGACGATTCCAAGTACATTGATAAAAGATGTATTGGTGCTGGATCTGCGAAACAACAAATTATCCGGGACTATCCCTTGCTTTGTCAAGAACCCAATCATCCTCTCTCTTTTGTTGAGGGGTAATGCATTAACGGGTCATATTCCTACTGATCTGTGCGGTCTAAGAAGCATTAGGATCTTGGATATTGCCAACAACAGACTGAATGGGTCTATACCATCATGTCTCAACAACATATCATTTGGAAGGAGCTTAGGCTATGAGTTTTCATACGATTTAGGATCTTTTTCATTCGGTGACGAATCACTGGGTGTGCATTCTAGGTTGTTGATTTTACCACGTGAGTTCTCTCGAAGCCAGCCCGACGATTTAGCGTTCATAGTTGAATTTTCATCAAAGAGTAGGTATGATTCTTACACTGGAGGAGGAAGTTTCGACTATATGTTTGGACTGGATTTGTCAAGTAATGAACTTAGTGGTGATATCCCAATAGAGTTGGGAGATCTTCAGAGAATACGTGCTTTGAATCTGTCTCACAATTTCTTGTCAGGTCTAATACCTAAAAGCTTCTCCAATCTAACAGATATAGAGAGCCTTGATCTTTCCTTCAACGTGTTGCATGGACCGATACCTCAAGACCTAACCAAGTTAGACTATGTGGTTGTATTCAATGTGTCCTACAACAACCTGTCAGGCTCCATTCCAAGTCAAGGCAAATTTTTGACCTTGGATGAAACCAACTTCTTGGGTAATCCACTTCTTTGTGGATCAGCCATAAATACAAGTTGTGATGATAACAAGAGCACTAACGGCGGGTTCCTTGAACTCGATTCTCAAAACGGAGATGAGGAAACAACAGTTGATATGGAGATTTTCTACTGGAGCCTCGCAGCCACATACGGTGTAACATGGATGACATTTATTGTGTTTCTTTGTTTTGATTCACCTTGGCGCCGAGCATGGTTTCGCCTTGTTGATGCTTTTATCAGTTTTTTTAAATGTGTTTGATTTGGTGTATTTCCATTGGTATTTGGACTACATGTAATGTTGTTTCAGTTTGTAAGATTTTTGAGAGTTCCAAAGTCTGTTATACAATATTTGATATATCTTTTGAAAGCGTCTCGCTGGATTCAAATAGTCAAGTTTGATCCTCATCAATTTTCTAAACACGGGAAAACCTCAAACTAGTCACTAAAAACAAAGTACTTTTGAGTCAATGGTGATAATTTACACATGAATTGGCAAAAAAAATCCTTTATGCTTCAAAACTTAACAAAGCCGCTATAACATCTCAGCGGTTAACAACTGCACCAAATGCGATTCTAAAGGTTGTATAACTAAATCCTTTGGTTTTTTTTTTTTGTTAAAAGCAACAAAATAAATTTTCTTGAGATTTATACGGAGAAGTGGTTGTTGCCTACGTGTTACGTCTTCTTATTGCATTGTCACATGGTCTTATCCACTTACCATTTATTAATGAAAATTTACAAAAATGGCTATAAATGTTTTGAACCATTTAGAAAGCAAAACCAAAGGGATGGTGGCCTTGTAGTATTATAAAAGAGTTGGTTCTCTTGTACTCTGTGTTCAAACAATGGAAGAATATTCTTTAAATCAGAATATTCAAAGACTAACTCGGATATTAGGAAAGATTATGGACCAAAAGCCCAAAACTCCCTCAGTTCATAAAAGAAAAAACATTTAAAAAGCAAATCTCAGAAATGAGAAAACAATCAACATATGAGAACGTTATAAATTTCTAATAAAGAAAAAGATGGTTTCAAACATCAAACGAAGGAAAAGAAAGCGATTGTTCAGAACAAAATATGTATGTTCCAGAACAACTATTGTAGACTATATAGTGAAACTCATGAATATCTATCCAAAATATTATCAATAAGAGGAGAAAGACTGAAGAAGAAACAAAGGTGCTGCAAAAGTTGACTTCAGCCAAAGTCACTTCAGTAAAGTCAAAGTCTTCCGCAAAAGTAGCCACGCATAGTGTCAGCAATATTCTTTTTTTTTTCTTTTGTCAGATATATTCTTTACCAACTTGAGATTAATATCTTAATATTAACCTTGGCAAGAGTTGAAATATGAAACCAGAAACTATCAATGTCGATGTTCTCCCCAGCATGTGTCATGATGATGATGATGATGATAATATTGGCATCACTACAGCCAAATGTCCATGGTTACAGAAGTTGCATCGAAAGCGAAAGGAAGGGCTTATTGGAGCTCAAGGCCTATGTGAACAACAAGTCCGAGTTTCCATATGATTGGCCTAATGACATGAACAGTGACTGTTGCCGGTGGGAAAGGGTCAGCTGTGATCTAACCAGCGGACGTGTGATCGGTCTTTTCTTGACTGATATAGATTCTCCTCCCCTAAATCTTTCCTTGCTCTATCCCTTTGGAGAACTACAGACTCTAAACTTAAGTAATTTCTGGTGTAGAGAGTGGTTCGATGATATCCATGGTATGTTATCATTTATTTCTGTTTTTACTCATCTTTTTCATAGCTTGTTTCTCAAGTAAACATCGTTGGTTTGCAGGTTATAAAAGTCTCGGGAGACTGAAAAATCTTGAGATCCTGGATCTTAGTGGAAACGGCTTCAATAATAGCGTCTTACCCTTTTTTAATGCCGCTTCATCGCTTAGAACTTTGATTCTTCGTGGAAACTTGATAACTGCTAGTTTTCCAATGAATGGTTCGTCCAACTTTTGGAATCTTTAATAAACCAAAAACCACTTTCGAGTGAGATATATTGAGAGAGCGATCGAGATTATGAAAATCATGAAAATCAAACAAAAAAAAAATCTATAAGCCATTTCCATAATCATTCCATCAATCTCCTAAAATAATAGATTAGTTTTAACAGATTTTTTTGTTCTTCTTATTTATTTTGTTTATTTCATCACTTGTTGTGCAGAACTAAAAAACTTGAGAAATCTAGAAGTGCTAGATCTAAGCCTTAACATGTTCATTGGCCCTTTACCAGGTACAGGTAGCAAACTATAGTTTTTTTTTACCATTCATTTTATTCATAGACCGAAAAATAGATCTACGACTTTTTTCAACAATTCTTTAAAATGCTCTTTTTCCTATATCTTTTTGCACGCAGGCTTGTCGGATTTGCATAGGCTCCAAGCCTTGGATTTAAGCAATAACGACTTCTCTGGATCATTGCAAAAAGAAGGTGTGTTTAACAAAATTTGGAATCAATGACTGTGTATATACCTAATTCTATATGCTATTAGACCTAATTTTATATGGAAAATACTACTAAAAAAAATTATGCGTATAGCCAAGAATTAGCCACAAAAAATCCATGGCTATTTTGAAAAAACCACAAAAAAAAAAAACACAAAAAGGCAAAATTGCTGCGAACAAAAAATTCGATATAATGCTATAGCCATATTTTTTTTTCCGTGGCTATAACTTCATGACTAATTTTTCATTGCTTTTCTGTAGCTTTTCCGTGGCTTTTCAAAATAGCCACTGAAAATATATGGCTAATCTGTGGGAAACTAAGTGTTAGTGTGAAAAACACGAGCAACACAGAAATCTTAACTTGGAAACCGTCAAGTCGTACGTTACTACTAGAGTCTGATAAGCTAATCTTTTAATGGATTACAACGTATTTGGAATTACACACTTCTATAACATCGAATGTCCACAACCCGATTCCTAGTCTATAATCAACACTCACCTCTTTATATATGTTTCTTTGTTTAAGAGCTTAAAGATCTGCGACTCAACTTGTTTTACGGCTCAAAAGTGTTGACCTAAGTTTTGAGCCATAAACTTACACTTATAATAGTCTACTGAAAACCCTATTCCCAGATTGTTGAGTATATCTTCTGAAAGTATTTCTATAATCTTCTTTGGAGTTTATTTGCTATGAATCTCCTTTGAACCGTTTTCAGAAGGTCCTTGATGTGATCCTGAGCAACACGAAGAAAGAAGAGCTTGCACCAAGACCTGAAGCAGAGCTTGTATCAGTGGATGAGCTAGAGAATGTGGCATTTTTTGATCCAGATTGTACTAAGACCCAAGTTAATTCTCAGAAGCTAAAAGAAACTAATGGAGACCTACTTATTAAAGCCTATATCCGCCCAAGACACTGGACCAGAAAGCAGAGGAAGTGTTTACAACTACACTGTTTGTGAAACAAACCCAAGAAGATCAGTAGTTGGGCTTGTGATCCATTTGCACTTTTTTCCCTGTTTTTGGTTTTGTCCCAATGAGTTTTCCAAAGATAAGTTTTTAATAAGACAAATTGGATCACATTTCTCTAAAGCCCATGAAGATTTCGATCAAAAGACCTGCTCACAAGGTAGTCTACGATGTGACAAAGGAGCAAGGGAATATGTGGATGATGACATGAGAGGCATGAAACTGAAAGTTCTTTTTTTCCATGGCAAGAATGATCCAGATGGATACCTGCTAGAATTGGATAGAAGATCAAGATGATCTATGACTGTCAAGAATATTTAAACCTCAGGATGGTGGCTAGCTTCTATGGAGTTCTATGGATATGATATCAACTGGTGGGATTAGATCATCACAAGCCGCAAGCACAGTCGATCCTCCTGTTGATACTTGGGATGAGTTGAAAGCACTTATGAGGAAACATTTTGTCCCTAGTCACTATCAAAAGCAGTTACACCAAAAAACTAAGGCACTTGACTCAAAAACAACAGCATAGAAGATTACTTTCAAGAAACAGAATCTTTAGTGATTAGGCTGGTATAGAAGAAGATGATAAATCAACCATTGCTAGATTCTGAGTGGACTAAACCAAAAAATTCAAGATAGAGTGGAGATGCAAAGCTATGCTGATTAGAGGAGATATATCACAAAGCCATTCTAGTAAAACAACAGATGAAAAAGAAAATATCTCGATCAACTTTTGGAGCTGGTTCATCTACAGCTAAAAAAAGCGTTGCCAAAGAAGAAAATCCAATTTCTGAATCTGCAGTGTTTGCTAAATCATTCCCTGCTAAACCAGACTTCAAAGTCAAAACCGAAGCATCAATTACTAGAGCTCGTGAGATAGTCTGCTTCAAGTGTCAGGGAAGAAGACACATTGCTAAAGAATGTCCTAACAAGAAAGTTCTGATTGTCTTAGAAAATAGTAAGTACAAATAAGAGAATGAAAAAGAGATCTAAGATTCAATGGAAGAGAAAAAGGAGTATGCTGTTAAAGGAGATCTTTTGATGCTAAAAATATACTAAACATACTAGCTCAGGCAGAGGAGGAAGTACAAAGACAGAACCTATTTCACACAAGATGACATGTGCAAGACAAGGTGTGCAGTCTCATAATTCATGGAGGAAGCTGCACCAATGTAGCGAGTGAAAACATGGTTAATAAGCTTGGTTTGACCATAAAGAAGCATCCCCAGCCATACAATCTGCATTGGCTCAATGATGAAGGTAAAATGCGAGTGAACAGCCAAGTAACATTTTTCTAACCATTGGTAAATACGAAGATGAAATGTTGTGTGATGTTCTACCTATGGGAGCAAGTCACATCCTGTTGGGAAGGCCATGACAGTATGATAGTCGAGTGACTCATGATGGCTCTACCAACAAGTATTTTTTTGTGTTCACAGGCACAAAGCATATTCTTGTTCCAATGACACTTTTCGAGATTTCATCAAGTCAAAAGAAGAAAGGAAAACAGGCTGAGAACAACATCTACCAGCAATCAAACTTCCTTGCTAAGGCTGGTAATATCCAAAGCATTATATTCTCTCAGTTACCTAGTCATAAGTCTGCTTATAAAGAAAATCTTTTGAATTTTGTTATACCGGAGCTGCTAAGTGGAGGATCTATAGTTTTGTAGGGCTACAAGGATGGTTTTCTTAGACCAACTGATTTTTGGAAGAGAGTGGTTGGAACAAAATTCAGTTTGGACAAATAGATTGCATATTTCCTTTAATAAACTCATCCAAAGGTCTTATTATCACCAATAAGAGTCTTGCACTAAACGAGCTTCAAAATAATCAAACCACCACTGCAAAGGGTTATGGTTTGTTTCACACATCACCAAACATATCCAATGGAGCCTAAGTAGGACAAGAAGAAGAAATGAGAGAAGGAGGACATGTTAAACTTGTAACACCACTTCACACTCCAACACAGATCACTTCCGGAACATACTTGAAAGATGGTCCTGATTTGAAGACAAATCATTTTCAACTTGGGAGGATGATGTGATTCTGAGCAACACCAAGAAAGAAGAGCTTGCACCAGAACCTGAAGCAGAGCTTGTAGCAGTGAACGAGCTAGAAAATGTGGCATTTTTTTATCTAAATTTTCTGAGATGTTCAAGCAAGCGAATGGAGACCTACTTGTTCAAGCCTATATCCGGTCAAGACACTTGGACCAGGAGGAAGAGAAAATGTTTACAACTACACTGATTGTGAAACAAGTCAAGAAGATCAGCAGTTGGACTTGTGATCTTACACTATCTTTCCCTGTCTTTGGTTTTATTCTAATGAGTTTTTCAAAGATAGGTTTTTAATAAAACAAATTGGATCACATTTCTCTAGAGCCCATAAAGATTTCGACCAAAAGACCTTAAGTCATTCTAGGCGTGTGACACTCAAGGGTCATTCAAGCTTTAGAGTTAATTTGGTCTTATGAATTTATTTGCTTTGCTTTCCGAGTTATTCCTTGTTTTCTACATTTCTATTTCTTTATAAACTCATGTAATATCACTTGAATATTTATCCTGGATTTGGATCATCAAAAATTAATCAAACTTATCTGATCAAACTTTTCAAAAAACTTCTTTTGTTTCTTGAGTGATTTGTTGCCTAATGCAATATCTTTAACATCTCTTATATATCATTTTATGATTGGTTTGTTGCTAAGCAACATTTTTATCGATTTCTCTGAACAGAAGTTGTTGTTTCTAGTGACAAAATATTCTAAAAGGGCCCTGCTAGAGCGAGCTGAGGAATGTAACGGGTCGAAGGCCTAGTGAGCTTCATTGGGTCAAAGGGGAACACAGATTCACTTGGGGGGGTGTGGGGGCGAAGTATCCCATGGTACGGTTTCCTTATTGGACTAGATTTAAGTTTTCCTTTTTCTAGTGGGTTTGGGAGTCGGGTTTTTGGGGCTATAAATACAAGGTTTAGTAGTTGTAATTATTCATTCACAAAAATAATAAACAATTTATAGTTTGATGCTCCTAGGTTCGATGGGAAAAGGAATTTTGGTCTGTGGCAAAGTCGAGTCAAGGATCTGTTGACGCAGCAAGGTATGAAGAAGGCGCTGTTAGAGAAGAAGCCGGACAAGATCGAGAAGGATGATTGGGACGATATGCATGATCAAGCTGTTTCGACGATTCGACTTTGTCTCTCTGACGATATCACCAATCAGGTGATGAACATCACAACTTACAAGGAGATGTGGGATAAGTTAGAGAAAATGTACATGTCGAAATCGTTATCCAGCAAGCTGTATCTGAAACAGAAGTTGTATGGGTTTAAGATGGTAGAGTCAGGTGATCTTATTGCTCATGTCAACAACTTCAACCAAATCATTGGAGATCTGGAGCGTGTGGATGTTAAAACTGAGCATAAAGCCATGATCTTTCTGTGTTCTCTTCCTCCTCAGTTCGAGACTTTGGTGACAGCTATTACAGTAAAAAAAACGACTATATCGCTGGAGATGGTTTGTACTTCGCTGCAATCCCACTGGGAAAGGCGACAGAACAATACCTTGGTGGACAAGTCTCAAGGTGATGGTTTGTACGTGAGTAGCAACCAACAACGAGGAAGGCAAGAAAAGAAGCAGGATGGAAATAAAAGGGACAAGTCGAAGTCTAAGCCAGGGAAGAATTCGATGTGCTTTGGTTGTGGTCAGAAAGACCATTATCGAAGGGATTGTCCTAACAAAAAACAGAACGGTGGATCTGGTTCTGCAAATGTGGTTCAGAAGGAGGATTCAGATGATAGTGTAGGCGACTTGTTGGCTGTGACATCTGGTGATCACACAGACTCTTGGATACTGGATACGGGTGCATCATTCCATATGACTCCTCACAGAGAATGGTTTGAGACGTATATGAGTGGGAACATGGGATCTGTTCAGGTGGCAAATAACATGTCATGTGGTGTCGTTGGTTCTGGAGAGGTCAAGTTTCGCATGCATGATGGCATCATCAGAACATTGACTGATGTTAGGCATGTTCCAGGGGTTAAGAAGAATTTGATCTCTTTAGGTACTCTTCACAAAAACGGATTCAGACTCAGAGGTGATGAAGATGAAGATGTTTTGAAGGTTTGTAAGGGATCTATGGTAGTGATTAAAGGGAAGATGACAGCTGGAAACGTTTACAGGATGTTAGGGAGTGATGTTGTAGGTGGAGCTGCAGCTGCTGTGTCTGAATCTGATAACACGGCTCTTTGGCATATGCCCTGGGGCATATAGGAGAGCATGGGTTGCTTGAACTCCATTAAAGGGGTCTTCTGGATGGTTTAAAGAATTGCAAGATGGATTTCTGCAAGTTCTGTGTGATGGGAAAACAGTCCAAAGTTTCGTTCAAGACAGGACAACACACGACAAAAGGTCTTTTAGACTATGTCCATTCTGATGTGTGGGGTCCAACTCGGGAACTGTCATTGGGAGGGTCTAGGTACTTTGTCATTTTCATTGATGACTTCTCCAAGAAGGTTTGGGTGTACTTCTTAAAACAGAAATCTGAAGTTTTTGCCAACTTCAAGGTTTGGAAGGCTGAAGTCGAAAATCAGCTGGAGAAGAAGGTTAAGTATATGAGATCAGATAATGGCACAGAGTATACTGATGGGGAGTTCCAGAAGTTCTGTGAGGAGCATGACATTCAAAGACACTTCACTGTCAGGAAAACACCACAGAAAAACGGTGTTAGTGAGAGGATGAACCGAACTATTGCAGAAAAGGCAAGAGTGTTTAAGGTTGAATGCAGGGCTTCCTAAGCAGTTTTGGGCAGAGGCAGTAAACATGGCGGTATATCTCATCAATAGGTCGCCTAGGAGTTCCTTAGAAGGGAAGGTCGCTGAAGAGATTTGGACTGGGACAGATATTGATCTGTCAAACTTGAAGATATTTGGATGTCCAGCTTACATGCTGGTTCCAAGTGACGAAAGATCAAAGCTGGATTCGAAATCTAAGAATTGCATATTTCTGGGTTTTGGAAAAGGTATGAAAGGCTTCAAGTTATATGATCATGTTGATATGAAGAGGGTATTCAGTCGAGATGTGGTCTTTGATGAGCAATATATGGTGCAGCAAGCGAGATCCTGTGATCATTGAGATTGAAACAGATTCTGGTATATCACAGGAGGAGTCTAGTGAGACTAGACTAGCAGCAGGACGTAATGGACAACCTGTTGAGTTGTAGCAGGACGTTCAACATGGAAAAGCATAGGAGAGTTTGGCACTTCAAAGACCAAGACGCATCATTAAGCCGCCTGAAAGATTAGGGTTTGAAGACATGGCGAGTTATGCTCTGATGGTTGGTTCAGGAGATCCAGAAAACTTTAGAGAGGTTATCTCAAGTCTTGAGAAAGATTTCTGGATTGGAGCTATGATAGAAGAGAATGAGAGCTTGGACAGAAATCAAACATGGGATCTAACGGGCAAGAGGGCAATAGGATGCAAGTGGGTTTTCAAGGTAAAACCTGGGATGTCTGAGAAAGAACCAGTTAAATACAAAGCAAGATTGGTGGCAAAGGGTTACTCACAGAGGAAAATGGTTGATTATGACGAAATATTCTCCCCTGTGGTGAGGCACACTTCTATTAAAGCTGTGCTGGGTTTGGTAGCAAGGTGAGATTTCCATCTTGATCAAATGGATGTAAAGACAGCATTTCTTCATGGAGATCTGGATGAAGAGATCTATATGGAGCAACCAGAAGGGTTTGTGAAACCAGGAGATAAGAAGCTTCTGTGCAGACTTAAGAAGTCTCTGTATGGATTGAAGCAGGCTCCTAGGCAATGGTACAAATATTTTGACTCCTACATGGTGAAGATTGGCTTCACAAGATGTGAGTATGACTGCTGTGTCTATGTAAGGTATCTGGACGACCTACTGATTTATGTTGATAATATGCTCATTACTGCAAGAGATATGGAGGATATTGATAAGCTAAAAGAGTTATTGAAGAAAGAGTTCGATATGAAGGATCTTGGTGCTGCAAAGAAGATCATTGGGATGGAAATTCACAGAGAAAGAAGCTCAAGGAGATTGTGGCTTTCTCAAAAGAGCTATATTCAGAAGATTGTAGACAGGTTTGACATGAAAGATGCAAAGATAGTGTCTACAACTTTGGCGATGCACTTCTCACTTTCAGCAATACAGTGTCCTAAGTCTGATCAAGAGATCGGAGATATGTCGAAGGTCCCTTATGCAAGTGCAGTTGGCTGTTTGATGTATGATATGGTGTGCACTAGACCTGATTTAGCACAAACAGTTAGTCAAGTGAGCAAGTACATGTTCAATCCTGGAAGAGAACACTAGAAAGCCATCAAATGGATTTTCAGATACTTAAAGGGTACAAGGATCTTGGGCTTATGTTTGGTGGTCAAGAGTGTGGCTCAGTTGTGGGATATGTGGATTCAGATTATGCTGGTGATTTAGACAACAGAAGGTCTACTACAGGGTATGTCTTTACTCTTGCTGGAGGTTCTATTTGTTGGAGATCTGTGCTACAATGTGTTGTGGCAATGTCTACCACAAAAGCTGAGTATATTGCAATGGGAGAAGCGGCTAAGGAGTCACTTTGGGTCAAGGGACTTGTGACAGAATTGGGTGTTGATCAAGGTGGAGTTCAGCTATACAGCGACAGCCAGAGTGCATTGTGTCTAGCCAAGAACCCGGTATATCATGCAAGGACGAAGCACATTCATGTCAGATTTCATAAGATTAGAGAGTTTTCTGCATCTGAAGAAGTCTTGTTGGAGAAGGTGCACACGTCAGAGAATGCAGCTGATATGTTAACCAAGCCCGTTACTGTGGAGAAGTTCAAGCATTGCTTGGATTTGCTCCATGTCTTCAAATACTGAAGAAGATGAAATCCTCCCCCCCCCCCCACCGGAAATGATTGGAGTTTGCAGGTAACTTTTATGGAGAATTTTTGTCAAGATGGAGATTGTTGTTTCTAGTGACAAAATATTCTAAAGAGGCCTTGCTAAAGTGAGGAATGTAACGGGTCGAAGGTCCAATACAGGTCAGCAAGATCTACCTGGGCCTAATGGGCGTTATTGGGTCAAAACACGGATTCATTTGGGGGGGTTTGGGAGGAGGCGAAGCCCCTTACGGTACGGTTTCCTTATTAGACTAAATTTAGGTTTTCTTTTTTTAGTAGGTTTGGGAATCGGGTTTTTGGGACTATAAATACAAAAATTATTCATTCACATAAATAATAAAAAAACTCTTAGGTGTTTGCCTTAATTTGCAATTTTTCCATTATTACTTTCTTTAGCTTGATTCATAACAAAAGTTTATTCTGCACGTTCTATCTCTGTCCAATGTCTCTTACAAGCTTCTAATTCCTGGGAAGATCGTATCAGTCCTGACATGTCAGCATTTCACTCGTTAGTCAAGCTCCCTCCTCCTGATATGTCTTCTGATACGTCAGCTGATTCTTGCATCTCCCAAGGAAAATATACAATTTACAATATATATAGAATATCTTATTATAAACTTGATTTCTCAAACTTTATAATTTAATACGTTCGGTAGATTCCTTCGTGTGAGGGTGTGCCATTGAAAATGGGTAAACATGATTAGACATATTAATAAGAAGATCAAGCGAGATGGAGGTTATCAAGTTCTACTAGCATTTTCTCTTGTCTTTGCATTTGTCAAAATCGTTTTGGGCTGTTTGGTTAATCTCTACAATCTCTACATTTCTCAATCGTTTTGGGAGTTTGCACAGGTGGCTTCCGAATAAGTGAGCGACGGTTGGCTGTCTCACTGCACACTCCCAAGACAATTTTTGCTCTTTCAAGGAATTCATCTACTAAGCTTCTTCCTAATCTAGTATCTTAATAATGTATTTAGAAACCAGTTCTCTAACCTTTATACTCATCAATGGATTGATATATAATATAAGTTTTAAGAAAGTAAACGCTGTTATCTCCTTATGCCTTTGCATGTGATTGTTGCAGGACTTTGTCAACTAAAGAATTTGCGGGCGCTTGATCTGAGTCAAAACTACTTTACAGGTCCATTTCCTCAGTGTTTCGACAGCTTAATCCAGCTCGAAGTTCTTGATATCTCTTCAAACCAATTCAATGGGACGCTTCCATCTTTTATGAGTAATCTCAATGCTCTTGAGTACTTATCACTCTCAGATAATGTGTTCGAAGGATTCTTCTCTTTTGATTCAATAGCCAACCTCTCGAAGCTAAAAGTCTTTAGACTTTCATCAAGATCGAGTTTGTTCCACACAGATTTAGAAATCCCCTGGCAACCGAGGTTTCAGCTAAGTATCATTGAGTTACAGTATTGCAACTTGGGAACGGTTCCTATCTTTCTTCAACATCAGAAAGATTTGCGTCTGATTAATCTCTCAAACAACAAGTTGACTGGAGAATTACCTTCTTGGCTTTTGGAGCAAAATCCAAAACTTGGGGTTTTGCTTTTGCAGAACAACTCTTTCACCATGCTTAAGTGGCCAAGACTACTACTTAATCACAGCTTGAAAGTTTTGGATTTATCAACTAACAAATTTTCTGGACAGCTTCCCAATAATATTGGAATGGTACTTCCTAATCTAAGACACTTGAATCTCTCTAATAATGGTTTTCAAGGGAATCTTCCATCCTCTTCCGGAAAGATGAACATGCTTCAGTTCTTGGACCTATCTCATAATTATTTATCTGGCATTCTACCAAGAAAATTCCTCATGGGTTGTTACTCATTGCGTATCTTGAAGCTTTCACACAACAGATTTAGTGGTGTAGTTTTTTCAGAACAAGCAAACTTGACATCGTTGAGCTTTTTCAAGGCGGATAACAATCGGTTTACTGCGATCGCAGCTGGATTGAGTCGTTCGAATGGTCTATTAACGCTCGACATGTCGAGTAATTATCTACAAGGTGTCATTCCAAGTTGGTTTGGTGATTTTTCTTTCTGGTATCTTTTGGTTTCAGGTAAACTTTTAAATGGTGCAATACCAAGAACCATGTTCAACAAATCTACTACCATTGCACTTTTGGACCTCTCTAGGAACAAGTTTTTAGGGAATCTGCCAGAGTGTTTTAACTGCAAGCTGATGTTTCTTAACGACAATGAGTTCAGTGGGGTGATTCCTAATACATTCTTACAAAATGTTGAGGTGCTTGATCTTCGAAATAACAATTTATCCGGCAAGATTCCACGCTTTGTCAGCAACGTGTTCATCAAATATCTTCTGTTGAGGGGTAACAGATTAACAGGTGATATTCCCAAGGATCTTTGCAGTCTAAGTAGCATCAAGATTTTGGATCTTGCCAACAACAAACTGAATGGATCTATACCTTCATGTCTCAACAATGTATCATTTGGAAGGAGCTTAAGCCATGAGACTGATGTTTTCTCAGCAATCTTTGGCCTTGGTTTGGATATTGAAGTGGGAGCGTATTCAGGGTCCTTGGATTTACAACCTGAGTTTAATCCACCATATAATAGCGATCTCAAGTTCATATTTGAATTTGCATCAAAGAGTAGGTATGATTCTTACAACGAAGGAAGTTTAGACTATATGTTTGGACTGGATTTGTCAAACAATGAACTCAGTGGTGAAATTCCTGGAGAGCTGGGAGATCTTCATAGAATACGTTCTTTAAATCTGTCTCACAATTCCTTGTCAGGTCTAATACCTAAAAGCTTCACCAATCTAACAGATATAGAGAGCATTGATCTTTCTTTCAACGTCTTGCATGGATCAATATCTCAAGATCTAGGCAAGTTACACTATATGGTTGTATTCAATGTGTCCTACAACAACCTGTCAGGCTCCATTCCAAGTCAAGGAAAATTTTCAACCTTGGATGAAACCAACTACATTGCTAATCCTCTTCTCTGTGGACCAGCCATAAATACAAGTTGTGATGATAGCAAGAGCACTATCGGGTTCTTTGAACCCGATTCTCAAAACGAAGATGAGGACACAACAGTTGATATGGAAATTTTCTACTGGAGCCTCGCAGCCACGTACGGTGTAACATTGATGACATTCATTGTGTTTCTTTGTTTTGATTCACCTTGGCGCCGAGCATGGTTTTGTCTTGTTGATGCTTTTATCAATTTATTCAAATGTGTTTAATTCATCAGCGTATTTTCGTTGGTCTGTAAAACTACATGACATGTTTCGTTTTGTAAGATCTTCGAAGTCCAAGGTTTTTGTTATGCAACATTTGGTGTATCCAATGCATTATCCAAACACAGAATTTCAGACAAGCCATTCGAAACAGACTACTTTTTGAGTTTTTAGGCACTGGTGATGTAATTATTTACACATGAAATGGCGCAAACCTCTACGCTTGAAAAAAAAAAAATCAACAGAGTCGCGCTCATTCCTCCTTTTGCCTTTTGTTACTTTCTCTACAAATGCACTAAATTGCTTGGAACCCAAATTTCTTTATACCTCTCTTGTTGTCCTACACTCAGTCTGATGCAACACCAAGTTCTTCAGATTCCATTAACGCACCAGATGCCTCGAGTTCCTCATCAATCGGAAGTGTACGCTTTGAGCCATCCAACGCAACACCAAGAACTATATTCTCCTCTAGAGACGAGCTGGTACCGGAGCCACCACCATCTCGAGCTTTCTGATCTCCTCCGCTGGTCTTCTCGGTCCCTTGTCTTGCTTTTGGTTTCAGTGTCTGCTCTGTTGCACCTTCGCCATCAGAAACTTCATCCTTCTCTGCTTTACTCGACTCTCCCAAGCTCTCTTTCTTCTTCTCTTCTGACTTCTGTTCTACTGGCTGATCTGATGTTGAGGTTGGTGAATCCTTAATGCCTGTACTGGAGTTGGAACCAATAGCCACTTTCGGTTTCTCCTTTTTGGCGTTTGAAACTGATACTGGTACGTTGTTTTCTGTTTCAGCCTTGGTTTCCGATGGTTCTCCTTGAGGGTCGTTTTCTTCAATTTTCTGCACTGAGTTTGGTGAGGACTTTCCGTTGTCATCGTTATTGATTTTGTAGGACGGTTCAATCAGCATGAATCGGCGGTTCATAGCTGCTTGATTGTAAACTATGTCTGAAAATGCTGCGCTGTCCACTTCAGCCTCATGACGCATTCTCTGAACTGTGCGAATGGGAGTTGCTAGACGTGCTCCATGATGACTAATGACTCTAAGAAGATCCAAGAGTACTGCTTCCTGTTCACATATACAATTTGCATAATGACAATTAGGTCATGGTGTTTCATAAGGTTTATCGTAAGATTCCATCATAATATACATCCACATGACATGCACACAGACACATAAACACATGGTAGTTGCAGACACAGGTGCTCAGAGACGGACACACTCATTGCCACACAAAATGATTTAATGGGAAAGTGATCAAATGAAGAAAAATGTGAAAAGAGTTGATCGAACTAATCTAGTCTTATAGTATTCTCCCTTGAAAGTGTTGCATGTACACGAATGCTTGTTATGAACACAAAATTGCAGAATGCACAATTTGAAAAATAAAAATCAGCAGCCAAAAGGTATGTGGAGTGTCTACTTAGTTAACTTTTACATACCTTAACACAGAGGTATTCTTCAAAACGTGAAGTCTTTACAAAACAGGATATCAGGATCTGCAACAATACCAGACATAGACACGAGAGTTGAACAATGTTAAACAATAACATCTTAAACTGAAAAACTATTGAGAGAAGGCATTTTCTTACCCTAAGGGCTTGGTTTTCTGGATCTATATCCTCCAAAAAGACTCTTCTATGTATTTTTTGCTGCTCGATTTGAGGATTTTTAGACAAAACTTTGCGCATATCAGCCACGATATTCTGCAAAGTTGTAAAATTATACAACAACTTGTTACATTAGAGCAGACTTTAAAGGAGCGGGAATGAAAGGATATATGTAAAACAACAATGTTACTCACATTAATTTTGCTGACATCAAGATGACTGATGGAAAGATGTGTTTTGATGCGCCAATGCGTCTTTTGAGTTAGATTCCTCACAATATTTACACTGAACTGGTGGTTAGGAATATGAACTGCTTCACGGTCATCACCTCTGATAACTGTAGGTGACCACCAACCGACGTGCTGAAAAGAAGCAAAGTCAATTTCGATGGAACAAAGTTCATATGTGACGGGACATGAATACGGATATTAAAAAAACTAATCTAATGAAGCTTGTGGTAACAAAGATAAACTGACAAGTTAACGGACCTCTACTGTGCCAGAAACTTCATAGCCTCCTATCTTGGTCTGAATCCACTCATTCAGAACAAAAGGCCGAGTAGCATGAATCATAATGCTGGAAAGAAAGTTTGTAAGTATCTGCACAATTCACAAAAGGTATCATTGTCCCACTGTAAAAAGGATTTAGTATGCACAAAACTTTTCCACAAAGAGGGGACCTCACCTCACGACCAGCAAGAGTGAGCAATACTGTCCCCAAACCTCCAGCTGTTAGCCACTTTTGGGTAGAGAAACCCAATAGCTCCATAAACAATGAAGCAGCAGCGACCCATGCAGCAGTGTAAACGGCTTTGCCAGCAAAACTGAAACCCATCTGGAATATAAAATGAATAAAAAGATAAGCATATTTCCGAATAAACCACCTTAGCTGGAGCTGAAGTCTTACAAAAATATGATAATTAGCATCTAATCTCAAGTACAACTTGTGCATCGAGCAACTGAATTTTTGTACATCTATGTCAAAGGAGTTTCTTCCTTCATAAAACTGAAATAAATTAATGCAAATTGCAGATACATAAGCAGAACACAAGTTTGGAGGGATAAACTGCTAATTTGTTCAAGTGAGTCACAATCTGAAGTAAAGTTCAAATCTACTCTATCACCTTCGTTAATGGAAGGAATAGACGTAATACCTTACATACTTAACTTCTCCTAAGTATAAATACTAAGGAAAACTCAGCCCTACAGTTGAGGCATCGTAACGCATAGGCAGCTGCAGGTGCCACTTAGGAAGACCAAGAACCATCAACTAAAAAGAAAGTGTCCAAATCCGTTTCAAGGGTAGGGAGACGTACATTTCTGGTATCAGCAGGATTATTTGTCTCCATAAAAAATTTCTGCGCCTGCTGAAGTAGACTGCAGAAACGACATTGTATGACATGCTCAGTAATTGAAAAACCATTTCGAACTCAAGAAAGCTTAAGTTATGACAGATATACAAGGATGGAAAAAAATGCATGCTCTATTGACTAAAAGAACCTAAATGCTGATCCTGCGGTGAGGTCACTGAGGTCTTTTGAAGACTTTTATTCTTAAGCGAGTATTTCAACAGTCAAGCTCAACGTAGCAGAGTTCTTATAGTAACAGCTTACAGAAACTCTTGCTCACCTTGATAAACAGCAGGCAAATGCCAACACCGTTGACATGGACCGCGCAAAGCTAAGAAGGCGAGTTTTAACAGCCTGGCTGGCACTTGAAGACAATACTATTGGGTCCAATGTTCTGAAGGATAATTACATACTTGTTTTAGTAAAAACATATGATAGTTAAATAGTTAAGAAACAAAATACTGTTGACCTGCATAAAAGGAGTGCTCCACTCCAAAGCAGCAAAGGCTGAAGATATGACACAACAATGTATTGTGTGCTACTCTTGTGTGAATTTGCATCATTCTTCTTCTGGAAATAAAGTTGCATTCACTTAAAATTAACTACAGCACGTACTCTAGGAACTGAAAGTGACGGAATATATAAGAGAGAATGACATCACACCTCAAACAGGGTAGCTCTGGCAAAGCCCAGAAGAGGTCTAAGCCCCCATGTAGCAAATGCAAGAATCCCAACTGCTGGAATCAGTTTCATTAAATGAGGATTTCCACGTAAAGCATCAAATGCCCTGATATTTATGACAAAAATTTCAGGTATGGCTTAACTAATTGAAAAGTTGAAAATGCATTTGATATACAGGCCAAACATTATGGTCTCAGTTGTAAGCATAAGCATGTAATGTATATGCACACTTACTCAATAAATACTATAAGTGAATAAAGGTTCAAGCATATAACCTTGTGAATATCACTGCAGTTGATTTAACAATGGGACCTTCATTTCCACTCCCTGGAAAGAGAGATGCTCGGCAAACGAATGCATTACACCTAGATGATACAGGTGCTATTGAACCACTCAAACTCTCCAGAAGCTGAAGACTCCAAACGTCTTGTCTCTAAAACAACAGGAAATGAAACATACAATTAATAGAAGCTCACGTAAAGGTTATTTAAACCATTCCATATGTTAACCTACGGTCAAGATGGGAAGATAATTAACAAACTCATGGCTAACAACCCTCACATCAGAATCTAATTTGCTTTTTTTGTAACTGAGAGCTGTAAAAAATTGTAAAAGACATACGCACACAACCATAAATAAGGAAGTTACAGTCAATAAAAGTTATATATTTTAAAGAGAGTTCCTCACAACACCAACATTGGTTGAAGAAAATGTCACAAAGAAGCACTAACAGATGCATGAGACAAGAAACTGAACCATGAAACTATGCTATGAGCACAGATGATACCGTGGTACATGATGAAAGACCTGTCCTTGTAAGATACACACGATTTTTACCACCAACAACACTCTGCAGGGAAAAAAAAAAAGAAAGAATGTAAGTAACCAAAACACAGGAAATGATGATAAACCCTAAGAACTCAGAACACAACACTACGTACATGATGGTATCCAGAAGCTTCACGGAATCTATGAACATTTAGATCATGAGACAATGGTAGAGAGACGGTACGCATCATCATCCCAAGGGTAGATAACAATGATTTTGGAGACAGAAAGATCAACTAAGCTCCTTTATAAATCAATTAGCGGAGCAAACCTGCACAGAATTAAGATTTAGCTTCGAAGAACATTGAACAGTGATACGATCTGTATATTCCTAAACACAAAAGATTAGTATCTCAGAGATGCACATGCGACGATTTCATCAAATTCTTGAAAAATCCGTACTAAATTCAAGCCGATCATTGTCTAATCAAAGCAAGATTACAATCCGATTGACATTGTTCCATCGAATTGTAGCCCAAAGTTAACCAGAAATTACCCTAAGATGTACGGAAATGATAAAATCGAGAGAGATCGGAAGCAAAAACGACGAGAAGAAGGAAGAAGCAAGATCAGTGGATAAGATCAGAGAAAACGGTGAGCTTCTTCTTCTTGATAACTTTCTTTCTCTCTTTCTTCCGGAAACAAACCACAAGACATGCTTCTAGCTAACGTGCGCCACGAGTTACACGTCTCCCTCTCTATCTCTGACTATAATACGCCTGTTATCGCAGCCTCGTCAAGACAAACGGAGTTTTTTTGGGATAGACGAATGATGATGAAAGATAATTTCAATTTTTTTGTGGTCCCGCAAAATTACGATTTTTAACCAAACGGAAATTTAATTTAATTCCACTCTTATCCGAATGTTTTTCCTCCGCATGCTTCCCACGTGATCTATAAATTTTTCGAATATAGACCGTCGGATAATAATATGTATGCCTCCACCGACCAAACTATATGAGTCGGGCTCAGGCCCTATACTTTCATTTTGTCAACACATGAATATTTGCATAATTTTTTTTTTTTTGCTAAATAGTAAAATATTCATTAAAAATAAAAAATTTAGATATTAAAAATTGTAAAATAAAATATTCGACTTAATAAATTAGTCTCATAATAAAAACCGTAAAAAAAAACATGGAAACAAAATACAACCGGTATTAAAATAACATTGTAACAATAAAACAATTTAACATCAAACATAGCGATAAAGAACTTGAAACCACCCGAAGAAAAATAGAACCGAAATATGGTCAAAAGAAAAAAACTAGAAGAAGGTTCGAATAAATATCCACAAAACAGAACGGAAGATGTTTCATCCGGCGGCCTGAAAAAAAGTTATTCCTTTAAGAAGCCAATAAGACCCGATTAAAGATAAATCTAAGAATCGGCGTACAACTAACAAACCTATACCAAGCACTAGGATAGGATTACACTAGCTGTCGAAGCTAAGAAGCGCTGCTAACTCTACCAAGATCCTCTCGATGTCGGCTAGCACATAGTCAAGCGACAACAAGCAAAAACAGCCTTACTACCTCCTCCGAAAGCCAAGCGAACAAGACACAAGACTGAACTATAAGCAGCCTCAATCCAAAGCACACAAACAGAAACGCTTACTCCATCCATTAGAGAGAAACGAGCAAACATCCACAACAACGACAAGACAAGGACTCAAGGAGCCACCAAAGACAAAACAAACCTGTTGAAACTGAGCAACACTGCACTGAGACCGAGCTCTGAACACCGATTTGGCACAGTGAGCCTCACGCTGCCACCAGAAGCACGCATTGAGCCACCAGGAAGTCACCGCCTTGAAGAAACGCCGCTGCTGAGAGCTAACTGAGGCACGACGCCGAGCTCGCCACAGGCTTCGATACACTGAGGGAGGAGAGGAAAGAAACAGATCTCATAGCAGGGTGTCAAGACCCATCCTCGAAGATTTCACACCACGCACCACCAAGAGAAATGTCTAACCGCACCACCATGAGAGAAAATGCAGTAGCAACATCAAGATCTAGAGACATCCCACACCAAACACCATGGATCTACCACCGGAGATAAAAAAAGCGAAGGAATTTCCAAAAGCCACACACCTCCTTCGATTCAAACATCCACACTGAGCCACCGACACCACCCGACACACCATCCTAGGCACATCAAACCGAAGAGGACAAAAGCATCCACGGCGGCGGCAAGGAGCACCAAAAACCAAGGAGACATATCTAGAAATTAGGGTTTGGTGGCTGGAAGGGGATGGAAGAGAAAAGCGATTATAGTTTTTAATTTTTGGTTTTCTGTTTAGAGCTTTGAGATTTTGGTTTTTGTTTCATTTCGCCAATAGTTTTTGGCTTTTAGATTTGGGTTTTCTATCTTGTTACAAATCTCAAATCCAACTCTTTTTTTAATGTCCGCGGAATAGCCTAAAACAAAACACAATAGACAAGAGTTAGATACGATGGAGATTTTCAACAACAACAAAAAAAATACGAGGGAGATTAAAAAAATAATCTTCTATGATTATTTGAGAAGAACACTTAAAAAAAGATCTTTATGTCATTTGTTATTAACAACTTTGGCATGTTGATGTGTTGATAACACCGTATTTGTACTCATTTTCATTAGAGTTTTCTTATGTTATTTCAAAGGTTTTAACTACTTTCAAAGGCTTTTATTATGGTTTTTCCATATTTGTAGTTTCAGACTCTTTTCAGGTTACTTAGGCAAAAACAATGCAAATTCGAGAAAAATCCACTTTTGGCCAATTTCAGACCTTCCGAAGTTTCACATCCGATGAAGACATTCTCACCATCTGTTTAGCTTAGTAGAAATCGTTACACCAAAACCCCACAAAAATCCCCCATTGGTCTTTGACTTCGATTACTAATCCAGTTTAAAGTTTTTGTAGAAAAGACAACTCTCCCTGTGGATCGACATCCTATGTACTACAACACATTGTTGTGCACTTGTAGACACTAGGGTTTACAAATTTCAAAATTCATCTGCGACCCCTCAACCCTAGCTTGCATCATGTGTCAATCTCAAAAAAAAAATATTGATCCTGGAGGAGCTACAAAGGTCACTGAAAACGTTTTAGAAGAAGGTCCACCCTTCACACTTCATAACAACATCAAGCAGAGAAGTTCAATGTGCAACAAGATTTCTTTTGGTGCACATTTGATCTTTGCTCATATGGGACGTGATCAAGACTCAAATGGAGCCAAAATAAAGCATAGATGGCCCTGAAGACTCTTTCTTCAAGACTTTTCACAAGCAGAAAGCATTGAAGATTCATATCCCAAAGAAATTCCAAGACTAGTCTTTGATCCTGGAGGAGACGATTCCTTTGTAGGTATGTTTTCTTTTAGTTTTTCTTTCTTTTTTTCATTACTGTTTTCTCTTCTTAGTTTCAGGTTTTCATAAAACACAAAAAAAAAAGATTTCCCACGGCCGGGAGCCCCTGACCTGCGGCCAGCCTCAGCTGACCCGCGGCCAAACCACTCCCTGACCCGCGGACAAGTATGTTCACCTGACGACACGTTTGAAAGATTGCCTGAGACGGAGGCTTTACACTTCGATACAGACTGCAGTGTCTTTACTAAGTTTGTAGAGGAGAAAGTAGTATTCCCAGAATACTTGGAATTAGGAGATTTGGAGCAGTGATCTGAAAGTTATGGCCGTTTGAAGATAAACTTGTCTCGCAGCCGTTCTAGACCAATTAGATGCGCTTCAAAGAACCGGTGTACCGAAAGCCTTGATCTCCCTGGATGCAGTTGGACCCTTCATCAAAGTTGAAGCATCTTGAGTCACCAGTCTCATGAAGTTAAAAAATCAAGTACTAAACCATGAACAAGGAGTTATGCAAGTTTTGGTGCAAGTGGTCTGTACTGGTATCTCTTTAAGGAGACTCACAAAGGCCAACAATGGCATCTCTTCTTGTCAAGAATTTTCTTTCCATCATATCACCTCCATAATGATAGAAGACCTTCCTAGAATTGTCACACACTTGGCTCGGTGGGGGTTGATAGATCCTTGGATCCAGACCGGTTCGGTGAAAGAGATGCTAAGGCGTGAGCGAGAGCTCGAAGATCCTTAGGCCCAATTCCAAAGAAGAGGTTGGAAACGAGGGGATGGACAAAACGATCAAGGGGGTTGCGATACCGGATGTTAGGGTGTGAGACAAGTCTCGAAATTCCCTAAGCCCCAAATACGACTACAACTCTCTTTCTCACTTTGGAATCGAAGGCTGCGTCAAGCAGGATGAAACTACTTGATAAACCGAGAATCGATCAATGGCTAGCCACCAAAATATCGACAAAGTTCTTAGAGAACAAAAGAGAAAACTCAAAGAGAAATTTTATAAAAGATAAGTGATATGGTTCCGAATACATGGATGCCTTTATATAGAGGTAAATGGAGACCATCGGTCATATTCAGAGACTTAAAAGACATTAAAGACATTAAATGAAACTAAATGACTAAGTACGTTGAATAACAATCGGACTTCTGGCTGACCCTTCGCATCATTTCGCTAGACTCTTGAGTTTCTTCCTTGACCGTTATACTTGGCCGCGAAACAAACCATGGTCGTGAGATGGGCGTGCCTTAACCTCGTTAAAATCCCATTCGGAAAACCCATTGGGACAAAACCGAATGTAAGGAAAAAGAGTATTAAGACAACACCCCAACCAGGTCAGTTCGGACCAGAGTACATGAGAACGGTCATGACTTTGTGAACGGGTGTTAGGTCGTCAGCTCGGCCTTGGTTCCTTAGCTCGGTGAGAACATGTTGGATTGCTCCCGTGAGCTTCTTGGTACGCGACCTGGTCATCGGTCCAGTTGGCATAGCCAGGACGTCGTTCTGGTCGGCTCCTCGGTCTTGTACCCCGTCCTGAACCTCGTCTCCGCTTAGCTCGGCCACTTGGTCTTGTGTTCCGGGCTGAACCTCGACTTGTTCCTCATCCTTAGCTCCTATCGGTTCCATGATTCTATCACATAACCATTCTAAAATCCATCCACCACCCAAAACACCATGTAAGTTTTCTTTTTCTTTATCTTTTCAATTTTTACATGCTTTATTTTCTCATCCTTGCCTAATTTATTTCACACTGGGGACAGTGTGATTTAAGTCTGGTGGAGGATTTCATCCCTTTCTAACCATTTTTTCTTTCATGAGTCTTTACATTCTGCATTTTTCTTCAAAATTTTCAGTTTTTCAAAGTGTTTTCAAAGTAGAAATACGTTTTAAGGAAATGTTGACAAAAATCTATGATGATATAACAAACCTGTTTGCTTCTACACCATCTCTCTATGAAAGCTTTTTTAAGGTTTAAAACTAGATTAGGCGGTAGTTATAGTACTTGCACTACGAACTCTCACCAGAGGACTTCTATTTATGGAAATTCTTTCTGACAAGATATATTAGCTCATTTTATTTAAACTTAATCTTGACATCTAATTTTCTCATCATTGGTTTTAGGAAGGCATCATGATATACATCTAGGACATCTTTACCTTATTTTTACCACTCTTTGTTCCTATATGGCCAGTTCATCTTTAGCTGGTACCATACCCTTTACTCAAACCATCATTTCAAACCTCATGCATTTTCTCTCTAGTTTATATCGACAGATATGTGAAAAAACACCGGAGAGGAAGGAATAACATAGTTTTTAGTCACTCAAAAGAAGAACTGAATGAAATTAGGAAGGAAGAGTATCAGCAATCTTATCAAGCCTCA